GTTACTGGCAGATCTTATGATGCTGGCAAAAATGAGCACGTGAGCGCACTTACTCATGGTGTACTCTCACATGCTGAAAAAACGTCCCGCTACAAACCTTCAGCTAAACTACACAAGCTGCTCTTTGACAATGTGGTGTCTGATGTCAACATCAAAGACCTGTATGTAGATGAAAAAAAATTAAAAGGTCTCGATAAGGCCATTTACCAAGAACTCCAAACACTTTGCAAAGAAAAACCTTTGTTAAAGTTACTGAATGACAGGAACCCCTTAATGCGCAGGGTGACGGTTCATACAATTAAAAATCACTTGATCAAATCGTTGCAGAATCCAGCCCTTAGGGCAGCTGGAGAGGTTAAAAAATACAAGTCTTCTGTGGAAATGTGTATTGAGGACTTGGTGAAGCAGATTGTCGAAATTGCAGACTCACCCTGCTCTTCTGAAAAAGCTGATACTATCGCCAAACAGTTGTTCAGTAAAGTCTGGCCTCGAATCAAAAGGATTCCAATCCCCGCTGTACATGTGATATTCCTCAGTAATATGATGTACAATTCTCTCATAGAGAAGTGGAAAGACCCAGATGTAATACTGACATTCATGGCATTAGACCACAGATATGTTTACGAGCTCATTATTAGGGTCTACAAAGAGCATGCTGTAACCATATTAGAAAGTGAACCTTTCATCAGAAGCTTCTTTTCCTCTGTGGGTTGAGCTGTAGGGTTCGCACACGCACACGCACAAAAAATTTTGGGGACATTACATTAACTTACATTAATTTCCTGGAGACTTATCCTGACTCTACCCATCACAAGTCCCTGCCTGAACCTTACCCTAACCCTGACTCAAGCCTTCACCCTAAAATTGAATGATTTACCTTGCAATTTGTCCCCATAAAGTAGGCGAGACCTCACAATATGAGTGTGTAAACAAATTTGTGTCCCCACAACAATAAGTAATACATGACCACACACACTGACACCCACACAGCAATATTGGTATGGCAGGGATCAGGCCCACACAATGTGCTTACACATGGCCCACATACCGCAAAGAATGACGGCCCTTTGGTGGCCCAGACCTGGTTTGCCAGAGGTGGCCCACACATGGGCCAGCACAAGGCCAGTTTCAGACACCCTGGTCGTCCTGTGCTGGCCCATGTGTGGATTACCTCTGGCAAACCTGATCTGGGCCACCAAAGGGCCGTTATTCATTGCGGTATGTGGGCCATCTGTAGGTGGTGTGCAGCCACGGGCCAGTTGTAGACACACTGCTGGCCCTGTGCTGGCCCAGAACGGTTTCAGCTCTGGCCCCAGATGTCAGCATAATGTGTACCTTAATCAAGCCATGCAATAACAACATGTGCCAGAACATGCAAAACAGTGCAAAAGTAACATGCCGAAACTCTGTTCAGACAGTGAATGGACTGATTTTTATGTAGCGCTTTTCTACTCTCCCAGATTACTCAAAGTGCCGGCTTGATACCAGATCCTGGCCAGACCTGCTTGCTATGTGGGCACTAACACACACACAGACACAGTTACTTTACCAACTGACCCCTGACCCCTGAGCTCCTAAGTGTCCCTCAAACCTCATTCAGGGATCCACTCCTCTACTTCACTGTCACTCCCTGAAAGCTCACTGTCCTCACTTTCTGAGGACAGAAAGTGCACATTCCCTTGGTTTCCTTCCATAGGCAACAATTGAAAATGACAGTTTTACTGTATAAATAAATTTAAAAAAGTAGAACAAACAATCAAATATGCTTCTTAACATATTCATGCACATACAAGTATTTTTTAATATACATTTATTTCACTATAAACATGTAAAATAGTGATCTTTATCTTGCCTCCTAATGGAGATGTCTCTCATGTAGTGCAGCTTGCAGAAAGTTTTTCCTTCACTGTCGCCGAGTGCTTGCTCAGAGGGAATTGTCAGATTATTGGGGTTTTATTTTTGTCAACTAATACACAACTCAGGGCTCGCAAAATCGCTAGCCCGACGTCACGGAGCTAGCGATATCTCCGGTCGGGCGACCAAAATCGATCTCTGCCCCGCCCGTCGGGTTATCATAAAGCCCGACGGGCGATTTTGCGAGCCCTGTGATCTTATTGGGCATTCCAAATTTATTTTTTTATTCATTAATAAAGTCCTAAAAAATTTATATTGTGAATATTGCATGTTTTCATTGTCACACAAATGTGTACATTTTCAGCCTAGACTGAACATGTGTGTTTGTCTTCTATTCAAAATCAAACATTTTAGTAGCAACCATTGTATTAAAATATGGCAGATGTTTTACTCTGATTACACAAACTTTATGTAGGAGTAGGTCACAGATAAGAGGTATTTATTTGTAAATTTGACCTCTGACCTCACAGAGATACAGGATGACAGGATATGTGATATTAGAATCCACATATATTGGTATATAATCTCCTAAATGTTGCCAAAAGCAGTAAGGAACATAGCTCTAAATAACATTATCATCTTTTTGACCCTCACTATAGTCTGTATGACAAGTCAGAACAAAAGGTCGGAGGTCAAATGCGGCATTAAATCCTAATGCGGTACATTACTATGTTGACAATACACACCACACTTGTAAGAAAGTCATAAGTTAAATTATAAGGCTTTTTTAAAGGTGTTTCTCTATGAAAGCAGTTAAGATCATTATGCAAATACATAGGGCAGCAACTGGGGGACCCCAAAGTGCAAGCCCACCCTCAGTATATTGGGGTCTGGAATAAAACTAGAATTAATTAAAAATATGTAATTAATTATTCAAAAATAGAAATACAGAGCATTTTAAACTAAGTCAATGTATATTTTAATTACTTATTTATATATCTAGTGAACTATTTCCTGACATATTCAGTTATTTTGCTACTCATCAGCAGCAGTGCTGTGCATCCTGCAAATTTTGTTATCGAGTAAATTAAGAGCAGTATTGCAGATACCGATACTTTTAACCTATAAAGGGAGCTTATGTAGGGGAGAGCAGTGTGTTATTATTTATGAGCTGAATCATCGCACATTTGCCAAGTTCAGAACACATTTTCATGAACACCAACACAACAATGTTGTAAGTTTAACAACCCACAGTAATATACTAGTTAACACAGTTTTCTTGTGTATTGATACTGTGGATTTTTAGAGACCTGAAATGTAAATGTGCTGTCTTTAAAGGAGTTTGGGTCAGCTTCTGTTGTGTAAGTTTGTCATAGGCTATAAAGACTTGGAATGAAAATATTTTTAATAAAAACAAGCTTTTAAAAATGCACAGTTCAGTGGGATATAGTGGGATTAGATTGGCTGTGTCTCGGTGTAATCTGTAGTCCTGCGACAGACTGGCGGTCTGTCATTGTGCAATTGCAGAATAAATGGATGGATGGATGGACAATGGGATACATGCTGAACTTTGAGGATAGAAACAAAGTATCAATCCAGTTGTGTTCGTATTGATCCAATTATGAAACCATAGATCATATTAAAGGGTTAGAACCTTCCCAGGAGTGTCCAGCCTACTAAAATTACTCCAAGAGTGCAGCAATGACTCATCCAGGAGGCCACAAAAGAACCAGAACAACATCTAAAGAACTGCAGGTCAGTGTTAATGATTCAACAATCAGGTAGAGACTGGGCAAAAATGGCATCCATGGGAGAGTTCAAGGAGAAAACCAAGGTCCCAAAGGCCCTCTCACATTTACCAAAAACATCTTGATGATCCCCAAGACTCTTGGGAAAGGCACTGACATTATAAATTCACTTGTATATAAAATATAAACAGGGTAGAGTTTTTGGGAAGGAGAAAAGTAGTCACACAAAACCAAAAAGGTCTCTGTGTCAAGCTGTAAACATGTTTATTTCTGCTTTACAGTTGCACATTTTAACATGAGAGTCTATGGAGAGACAGACTCAAGTGGCCATTAGAGGAACTGCAGGTCTTGGCACAATAACTCACAGTTATTCATCATTTCATACAGACCGATCAGCTCCCTGAGATGAGCTCGGATCCAGTGAGGTACTGACATAGGATGTGAGCGTCTGTCATATGTTGCACGCTTTCGGCTCATCCTATTGGCTCGTTCCTCGAGCTCCTCCAGCTGTTTTGAGCTGCTGCAGAAGGCCACTGCCATTGAGGGAACACTTTTGCCACAGTTGTACACACACAAAAAGATTCTAGGTCTGACCAATGTCGCAGCCATAGGCAAAAAGATGACAGTCAATAAAATTCTAAAAGGTAATTTATTAACACAATGATCAAAAAGTAAAAGATAAAACAGTCCAGTGTCCAATTTGCCTGTGAAGTAAAAACACACAGTCCAAGGCCAGAGCCAGCTATGCCACAAAGCCAGGTGATCACTCTGGCCTCTGCAACTCAGCTGCCTTTAGGCTGCGGCATATAATTGGCCCTGGCCTGCACAGAGACACAAAGTAACATGTTTCATGTCTCTCTGTGCAAAATGGGTTCAAAAACATAAACAACTGTGGTATACTGTTTGTCCGTGATTTGTGGCAGGATCAGCCTGATATTATTTGTGTCCCACTGTAACTTTACTGTATAAAGAGCTAAGATCTCCAAAATGTCAGCAGCAATGACTGTAGTCATTGGTCAGGAGTAGTTTATAAGAAGTATTTGTGAACTAAAAATCAAGAATGTGGGATACTGTTTGTACGTGATTTGGACAGCCCAGCGCGTGCTCCCGACGCAGGAGGAACTAATTCTGTTGGGGAGACCTACCTTGGCACTTGTGCAGGTGAAGCCAAAAGCAAGATAAGATATGCCTCATCATATTTTCTAGTATTTGGCTTGGAAGGAAGTTAGTTTGGAAACATATTTGCTTCATCTTCTGCTTTGCGTTTGTGTGGAAGCCCTGTCAAAAACCTGCCCATTATATGCTAGCACTCTGCGCTAACCTATGCAGCTTATTGTGAATTTTTGCAGCCAACTTCCGGTTTTGCCTCGCTGACTTGACTCACTGCCTCCGCTTGCTCTATGCAGACGGTGTGACGTCAGCCAGAGTCGGTCAGCTGGCTCCTCCATCTGAGCAGCACAGAGAGCCTCTCCCACAGGGAGACATCACCAAAAAACGCCCGAGTCTGGCCAGCAGCATCGGCGGCCTGCCGGAAGAGGAAAAGATATGGATAAAACAAGACTATAGTGGGGGATCGGCCATCGGCGATTATCGGGAAGACTAACTAGAATATTTATTTACCTATTTATTAATTATTTATTTTCCCTGCCAGCAATGGCTGGGGTCCATGGCTGCGGCTGCTGAGAGGCAGGTGCAATACCATCGACGAAGGCGTTTCGCTCCTCGGCATGGACGATCTACAGGCTGGCCCAGTGCCCATCCACAGCGCCCAGGATCTGATGCTTTCTGCCGGAGGACAGGGATAACAGGGCCGCGACTGGAGGAGATAGCCCGTAACTGGCTGGAGGAGCGGGAGGAGGAGGAGGAGGAGGAGGGGGTCTATTCATATCAGTTTATTAGAACCGATATTTTCAGCAGGGGAATCAAGGTTATGCGCACACAACAGTCTGCCTCCGTTCTGTAAACCTGCTGCAAAATGGCATGACTGTTCTCCTTTTTGAAGGCAGACTGTGATTGAATGTGCCCCTTCCCCCGTGCTGAGCACATTCAAAAGCGGTGACACCCTCGCCTTTTAGGAGGGCCTGAAAAACTGTTGAGAGGAGGCGCAGCTTCATCTGGACCACAGCTGCCAAGATGATGGAGCTGCAGATAGACGAGGTGGTCTACCAGGATGACTACGGCTCCGGCTCCGTGATGTCGGAGCGGGTGTCGGGCCTGGCAAACAGCATCTACCGGGAGTTCGAGCGGCTGATACACAGCTACGATGAGGAGGTGGTGAAGGAGCTGATGCCGCTTGTGGTGAACGTCCTGGAAAACCTCGACGCGGTGCTGACGGAGAACCAGGAGCACGAGGTGGAGCTGGAGCTGCTGAAGGAGGACAACGAGCAGCTCATCACCCAGTATGAGAGGGAGAAAGCGCTGCGCAAGCAGGCGGAGGAGGTGCGTTAAAAGAGCTCCCCACACAGCACCACCGGCCACCGCAGGCCCGTCATTATCATCACTTCCAGCCGTCCTGTTCTGTGGGCACATGTGACTCATGTTTAGGCCCGTGACAGGGATTGCTAAACGTATTATTAGTGTCAATGCACTGCAGTCACTCGTAAACACACTGCTTACATTACTTAGGGATATTTAAATCAGTATAGAGACACCACTGGAAGTTTCTTTTTCTTTTAAAGAGGGTCAACCAGGTAAACAACAGGGACGTTTCCGGGATTTCTGAAATCAGGGGGCCCAGGGATGGGCAGACCAAGGCAGGGGTGCACAGCAATGTTGAAAACACTAGGCACAATTATCATAATTATCAATTAGGAGTCCACATGCAGATGGTGTTATTATAAAGGTAAACCATTGTTTTGGTTTAAAACAATGTTTTTGCAACATGTTAAATAAGTATTTAGATACTTTAGGTTAGTAAAAGTTGTAATCCTGCATCCAAATACGGGTTTATGGCAGAATCCTAAACATTGCATTACCGGATCATAGTTATTGGTCCATTTATATCTTTATCACTTTAATCTTACGACTGAAGACAATTTTAATCATGTTAATCATGTTGCTACGGGGAGTTTTATGAATGATGTTAATAATAATAATACAGATTTTTAGATCCATAGATTTAAATTTTAAAATCTGCTAAATTAGAGTAAATTAAATGGTATGGAGTACAAGGATAATAACTGTACTGAAAATATAGTCAAGTGGAAATAGAAACCAGGAAAACTTCAGTAACATACTTGAGTAAATGTGCTACAAATAATACACCATCACTCATTATACTCCAGCTCGCATCTGTACTGTAAGAACTGTCTGAGACAATCATATTTCTGGGGGTGGGCAGTGCCACCCTGTGCCCCCCTTCTGACCTTTGAAGTTAAGCACATGCATTGAAACAAAAGACATCTTACAGTTTTACCCTCGTTGTCTGTTTATCAACATCAGATTCTTCATGAAATGAAGTTAAAATCTAACATCGATTAATTCTGTTACTACAAGTTTTTCAAATATTGCTGTTTAACTTTAAAGTTAAAGTTAATAGCTTTGTCACTATTACAGATTTTTGTTATCACTTTTTTCCTGCCAGTACTCCAGCTAACCGTTAACAGTGCTGCTACCACCATCATCACACATGGAATTTTAAGTGCTCCTTCCTTAAACTTTAACACAACACAGCAGAAGTATATGCAAATATAACACAAACACAGTATGCAAACACAAAGTGAGGGAGGACATGATGGCAGGACATGTATGAAGATAAAGGCACAGTCAGCGTGACTCTCTGTGTGGGCGTTTGCACTCGAAAACAGTGAAAGAACAGGAACACAAACAACAAAAAGTGTGTTTCAATACGGGGCTATTAAATTACAGACTGAACTCCACCTGCAGACACTTTTATCTCCTCTGTTTTTACCTGAGTGGTGTCATAACAGCAGTGAGATCCTGCAGGCAGGCATCATAAAGCAACTTTAATCCTCCTCCCATCCAAAGAGGCCTCAGAGTATCACTGGCAGCCTTGCTGGTGTCAGCTTAGCTCAGCTTTTAGCCCACTTTGTGATCTGCTCTCCCCAGCGCCGTCCCCTCTGTTAGTTATCTAGTTTGTTTTCACTTTAAGCTGCCTTGTATTTAAGCTTCGGTTTAATATCATTACAGACAGAAAATGCTTATTGTGAAAATGGGATTTTGTAGGGCCAGTACTTGAAAATGAACATGTGCTGCAGTTTAAAGTAGGTGCTGAGCCATCAGTCGTGCCTCTGCAGAAACTGAAAAGGAAAACTGTAACAACAATGCATGCCTTTACATGCTATTTATATGTGTGCCAAAAAAACCCAAAACACTGTATAGAGCTCAGATCTTCTCTTTGTCGTCAGCAAGGACTCTTTTCTTGCCTAGATTTTTTTCACGCACATGCAAATCTCTCTTTGCACTTCTGGCACAAGCTGCCTCGAAGACATTGCATATTTAAGATTTGAAGTTTCGTGCAGGGCTGCCCACACTTTTGCACAAACCTGTACTTGTTTGATGACCTTAGATGACAAATAAACAGACAGTTTTCTCCATCACTGGGGTGCAGAGGGGGATGGGATGATGTGCAAATGGGTAGAAGTCACAGGAAATCAATAGCACACAGAGCTCACTGGGGGAGTCTGGGACTGTAATCTGATTTGTGCTCATGAGAAGCAGAGAGAGAGTGAGAATAACAAAAGCAGAGAGAAAGAAACAGACTGAGGGTTTTATGAAGCTACGGCAGAGGCGAGGCAGCCCAGGCCAGATCGGAAAGAGTCTAATGATAATAAGAGGAAAAAGAAGCAAACAGAGTCTGAGGAAAACAATAATGCCTCCTCCTGCAAGACATGGACAACAACAAGCAGAAAAGGCAGCTCACATTACAAAGTTATTAGAGCTAATGGTAAACAAAGACAACAGCCGCATCTTTTTACTCATGAAGCGTTCGACCGAGATACCCACAAGCACAAATTTAACCATTTTGTAGCATCTCCTGCTAAAACATCCTGTGTTTGTCTCCAGCCATCTTTTCCCCATCTCTCTTAATGTGATTTACATACAAAGGATTATGCTCCACATGTTATCTTAACCTCTAGATTTTATAATAATTTCAAAGATTTCAGATTTTCCTCTGCTCCTCCTAATGCTGTTGTGACTTCACACCCTCCTCAGATATCACTCAGATATAACTCCTCAGATATCAGTGTGGTCACAGTTGAGCGTGTGACCACACTGCAGTCACACTTAGAGTCAGTTTGTCAGGAAAGCTCCTTAGTTTCACTCGTCACACATCGCAGGATTGCTTAATGAGAATTATTCCGACTGGACCGCGCAAACGTTCATTCCTACGCTGTGTCACGTTACCTGTCTGAGTGCTGTTCGCACAGTTTAAAGTTATTTATGAGAATGCACCGTGTTTTTCTTGCTTCTGTAGTTACACCAGTGCACACTGCAAGCTGTGCCTCACTAACACTGCATTTTAATGGAAAGCGATGTGCCTTTACTTGCACGGGTTTAGGAGCCTCGTGCAGATAAAGGCATGGGGGATAGAGGGATGGACTTGAAGGGCACCTTCCCAGTCTGAGGGGGGCAGGACGAAAGATATTGCTGTGTTTTGTTTCAGCGAGAAACAAAGACATCTAGTATGTCACAAAGACAGTGTTTTGATGCGTAAACTCGGTCGTTTATCATTGAATCTATAGTATGTTAATGCTGTGGATGTTCAGCAGTGACAAGGCTGGAGGTTCGCTCTTCCTGCACCATGAGTACAGTGCAAAAACTGCAGCAGCTACAAGAATGCTGCAGCAATCACTCTGCAATTTCTCCAGGAATTTCACATTCTCCTTCTGCTAAAGCTGCAAGGAGACCACAGCATTAGTGTTGTTTACTGTGCTGCGTGGGTCAGGGTGTGTTTTGCCACATTTTCAGTAATTCATTAAACTTGGTTAAATTCTTTAGTGAACTTTTCCCTGTAGCCGTGGAGATATTTCTACATGTGTCAATGACAAGTGTTGTTCATTCCCTGCAATTAATGCTTTAGGTACAGCATCAGCACTGGTTGTATTTTCAGAGTGCTGTTGTGTTGCAGTGCTTGCTATTTTGTGTGGCGTGTATCTGCTGCACGTTGGTGTTTCCAAGGTCTGTCTGCAGTCAGAGGATTACCGTATTAAGACTTTGTGGACTTGCGGAAAAAAGGACGTCATTGTGAGCAGCTTTATTTAAAAAAATGGAACAGGCAGCATGGCGGGGGGAGTAGGCAGCTCTGTGTTTCTGCATGTATTGTGAGATAAATCTATTATAGACAAACTGTGAAATACTTTTACCATAATACACAGATACTACTGGCACATATAACCACATGTAAAGTGAGTTCAGTTTTCATTTTTTGACATGTGCACAAAAGCCCTGATATATCCTGAAAACACACTGCTCTGAAGCTGATATGAACAATTATGTAATTCATAGACAATATGAAGTAAAATGATATGCTGTTTCCCTTCATATGAATTATAACAAAATGCAAATTTTATGTGACCTTTCGCTTTTAGAGTCTGTAAATTAATTTCTTAGTCTATTTTTTTCTCTTGTTTGCCTTTTATCAGAAATTTATTGAATTTGAGGATTCGCTGGAGGCCGAGAAGAAGGACCTGCAGATACAGGTGGAGTTTTTGGAGCTACAGGGGAAACAGCTGGAGCTGAAGGCAAAGAACTATTCTGACCAGAGTGAGTGCATAGACGTCATGTTATATGCAGTGCATAGGTGTAGGACACCTGGCTCAAAGGGTGACCCTTATACCGAAGGTTGTACTGCTTACTGCAGGGTCCTGGGTTTGAGTCCGCCCCAGGCTGTCCTCTGAAGGTCATCGTGCTCCCGCTTTTCTCCACTGCCTTCCTGTCTACACTACACTGTCCTGTCTAATAGAATATGCTGTACATGTGGCTGCTGAGGCTCATTCAAAACACTGGAAATAGTGTTTAACAGCTGTGTGTGTGTGTAAGAAGGAGGACAGCAGGAGAGATAACACAGAGGCTCCAGGATACATTTCCACTGTAGTTTTGAAGGGAAGGCAGAAAGAGAAGTAGACACGCTCAGGATGTATTTTTAGACTTTGGTTGATTTTGAAATGAAACACTGATTTTCTTTGCTGTACATTATAAATACAGGCATCCAGTTAGCTTTGGGATTTATTTATTTGTATGTTTGCGGGGATCCACTGTACCCTTAATGTTTCTTTGTTTCTCCCCCAATGATTACTATATTAAATAGTGCAGCAATTTGAATACAAGCAGGCAAACATAAATTTGCAATCATTTCAATTTCATAACTTTGCACTCCTACTATGCAATCCAAAATGATACTTCATGTCCATTTAATTGGCGAAAGGTTATAAAGTGAGCTGGACGTCACGGCTGTTTAAATGTACTTTTGTTCTTGTTGCTGCTGAAGTTGATGTTGTGTCCGTCTGCTTCACAGTCACTCGGCTGGAAGAGCGAGAGTCAGACATGAAGAAAGAGTACAACGCTCTGCATCAGCGCCACACTGAGGTGAGCAAACCTTGGGCCCTCCTGTGAAATCACAAGAGTTAGATATTCTGCTGAACACCTACTCTTTTCTTTTTGATTTCTAGCTAGGATTTATTACACATTAGGCCCCATATCGGCATAATCCACCAAACATGCTCACAGTCATTTCAAATATTCATGATACTAAGCTTGAATGATACAGCCATCATGAGCGATGTTTCAGTAAAAGAAGCAGAATGGTGTTTTTTTGTTTTCTACAACTCAGAGTATCTAAATATGTGTGATATATGTGAAGTATTCAAAGCACTTTTGACCCCCATCAGTCTGGTTATCCATTAATTCACAAAACACAGTGTGTAGTAGATTATAGGTCAATCATGAAATAACTCTAATCTTTTATATTGTCAATGTATTTATTTAAAGAGGACGATGTGGTTCAACACTATATTGCCCAAAGTATTTGCTCATCTGTCTTCGCACGCATTTGAACTTGAGTAACATCCTGTTCTTAATCAATAGGGTTTAATATGATGTTGGCCCACCCTTTGCAGCTATAACAGGTTCACCTCTTCTGGGAAGAAGACTTCCACAAGTTTAGGAGTGTTTATGGGAATTTTTGACCATTATTCCCGAAGCACATTTGTGAGTTCAGACACTGACGAGGTCTGGCTCACAATCTCCGCTCTAATTCATCCCAAAGATTTTCTGTTGAGTTGAGGTCAGGACTCTGTGCATCCTAGTTGAGTTCTTCCACACCTAACTTCCTCATCTACAACTTTATGGAGCTTGCTTTGTGCAATGGTGCACAGTCATGTTGGACCATCTGGGACCCAAAACTGTTCCCTTAAAGTCGTTAGCATGAAGTTGGCCAAAATGTCTTGGTATGCTGAAGCATTAAGAGTTCGTTTCACTGGAACTAAGGGCCTGAGCCCAACTCCTGAAAAACATCCCCACACCTTTATCCTCACTCCACCAAGGTTTACGCTTGGTACAGTGCAGTCAGACAAGTACCGTTGTCCTGGCAACCACCAAACCAAGACTCATCCATTGAATTGTCAGACAGTGAAGCGTGATTCGTCACTTCGGCTTGGATGCAGCTGTTTCCATGGAACTGTTAAACTCTCCACACATTGCTCTGAGCTAATCTGAAGGCCACATGAAGTCTGGAGTTCTTTAACGATTGAATCTGCAGAAAGTTGGCGACCTCTGCACACTATCCGCCTCTGCATCGGCTGACCCTGCTCTCAGTTCCTGTCATTCCCAATCGCTTCCACTTTGCTATAATACCACTAACAGCTGACTGTGGAATATTTAGTAGTGAGGAAATTTCATGTGTGAACAGGTGGCATCCTATCACAGTACCACGCTGGATTTTACTGAGCCCCTGAGAACGACAGATTCTTTCACAAATATTTGTAGAAGCAGCCTGCATGCCTGGGTGCTTGATTTTTATACACCTGTGAACATGGAAGTGACTGGAACACCTGAATTCAACAGTCTAGAAGGTTGACTGAATACTTAGCATTAGCACTATAGCATGCTACCAATATGGAGCATGAAACTGACATTTATAGCTATTGCTAATTTTTAACTCTTATTCCTTGCTGGGCTTTTACATTCATAATGCACAACATTCAGTTACATAACACCACAAGATACTATAAGCAAAAGTACAATAAATAAATAAATAGTGTAAAATATAGTGTAAGAAAGATAGATATTGCCCTGCTCTCCGGTTGTTCTCAAAACAATTTTTTGTTCTTGATTTCTTGGATCACAGATGATTCAGACGTACGTCGAGCACATAGAGCGGTCCAAAATGCAGCAGGCGGGGAGTAACAGCCAATCAGAAGGCACCGGCTGTGGACGATCGTGAGTGTTTTGTTTTTTCTTTCATTTATATTCTGTGTGTGTGTAATTGTCTGTTTCTGTGGATCGGAACTATCATGTTTTGTACAGATCTATCAGGCTTTTCGTGTTGCAGCACATTTCTTGTGTTGAAGCTGGCGCCGTTTGTCATCAGCCACACTGAACAGCTGCCGTGTCCCGCTAACAGAGAGGAGAGGCGATGTGCAAACAGACACAACAGTCATTATAAACCTCTGTGGAAAATAATTAGAAAAACAAAGGAAGTTTGACTTGAATGTGCCAGCTTGTCGTGTTGAGCCAGGGCCAATCCCATGGGCTTGACAGCTAGAAGAGGAGCGGAACATCTGGTGTAGCTGCCTATCTAAGCTCCAGATTAGTCACTTTTAGCAATATGTCCACTAACTCATAAAATACCCACAGTGAAAGGCATGCAAGAAGTTTGCTCCAGACTTCTGATACTGTAAATAATCAATTGAGTAAATGATGAGCTTGCTTTCAGCAGTACCTATCTTTTAGTCTTAGTTTCGATTTTTTAGCCTATTTTTCCTGTAAAAGGTGTCAAACTTTGAGATTCTTGCATGCAGGTTCTCTTGAAGTCTACCGAAAGACTGCGACCGACTATGTTTAGGTTACAGATGACCATAAAGGTCATAGCAAAACCTTCAGCTTGCGGTTTTTCTTCTTTCTTTTTTTAAACAGTGATATATTTGCAGGTTTTTAATTGAATCCATTTGTCCTTCTACGAGTGGATGTCCAATGTCAGTGGCTGCAAAATGAATCCAAAACATTATTGATTCAACCCCAAACAGTTGCAGAGATGGTCTCATGGTGATAATCTGCACCCTTTTTTCCCCCTTTCCTTTTTTGGCATTTGCAAAGTTTTGATGCAACTTTGTGTTAAGTATGCAGGAAAGATTTCCCTTTAATAACTTCCCTGTGATGATTATATCTGTGCTCCAGAGTCTCCTAAATCTTGTTGAAGGGTTGAAGTGAGAGAAGGGTTTGATTTGTAATTGTTCCAGAAAGTTTTCTTTTTCTTTCTGAACTAAACCAAACCTCCAGTATTGTCACTAGCTGCCATTTCTCCGAGGCTCTGATTGAGTTTGCTGTATTTTTATTGACTTTTCCTCTTTTTTGGACATCAATTACTTTAATCGTCTTACTGCCATTAAGCTGCTGGGACAGGACTTTGCTTCCGCTGGCCTTTCTTAACCATGACTGTGAACGAGCCAGAGCCCCAAAAAACTGAGACACTAGAAAAAGTTAAAACACCAGATTTTAAACGTTAAAGAGAATATTTCATCTTCACCTCAGCTCATTTTTTCCTCACTAAGTAATGCAGTTACAGAACTTTTGACCAGTCGTGCTCAAAGCTTTCCATGCCACTGTGTATCTTGTATCTCTAAAGTCAATTCGGCTACAGCGTCTAATGAAATGCATCTCAATCCTGCAAGTCTTCATCAACTGTGCTTATTACTGGAGAATACATGAGGACAGTGTTATAGGTGGTTATGGGAGTCCTGCTGGGGTGTTCAGAATTAATAAAGTGAACATGTGATTATCCGAAGCAGTTTTAAAGACAAGACAGTGAAGATGTGCAGAAAAAACTAAACAAATTGTCGTTTAACTAAATGTGTAAAAGTGCGTGTTTGTTTGTGCGGTGTTATGCGTCATGGCATGTTCCTGTCTCCTGTCCTTCTCTAATCAGTGTCTGTCTTGTCTGTCTTGCTGGCTTGCTCTCTGTGCTGCTGTTTGCACAGTCAACGACACACATGGAGGAAAAGGTAAATCCAACAAGATTCCTCGACTGCCTCGCTCCGCTTCCCTCGAGTCTGAATTAAAAATATCCCTCCCCTTATATTTGCTGCGCTTCCACACTTTATGGATGAAAGTATTCCCTAATGCACTTAATTTGCTAGTTACCGATGCTTTAAACATCTATTTATTATGTTGGATGCATCAGTGATGTTGTACTTCAATCTTAAATTAAGGACTAAGGAATGGATCAAGGGTCATGTTAAGCATATTTTCCCGATATCTCCCCCTACCTTCTCCTCTTTCTCCCTCATGTGTTTCTGCCAGTCAGTTTGTCCCCCGTCTGTCCGTCTGCCTGTCCTGCTTGTCTTTTGCTTTGTCCATGTTATATATAATTTTAAACATCGGGATCTGAGGTTGTTTTTTCTTTGGATGCTTTTTGTTGGGATTAGTAAGATCAATGCTGTCATGTCTGGGCAGTAATTGTGATGTTTAAACCAAAGGTTAGTGTAGCTTCACACAAACACATGGTGCAGCTAGTCTGGACCTTTCCAAAGGCAGCAACAAAGCCATAGCACATCTAAAACTCATTAGTTTACATGTACAGGGTTAAATCTATACAAAGCCAAGTGTTAAACCATCAGTCTGTTGTTTTAGCAGTTTTTGGAGGTCATGATGTGGAGCCTCTGCTGCAAGCTAAAACAGTTGGTGGATCTTTTTGCCTGTGGACTGAAACAAAATAGCACTCTAAGCTAAGCTAACTGACAGCTTCACCTTTATTGTACAGAGACAGCAACAAAGAGTCATGAATGAGAGTGTGAGTGACTGTCTATAGCGGGGGTGTCAAACATAAGATACCGGGGCCAGAATCGGCCCAACAAAAACTCCAGTCTGGCCCATTGGATATGTTTGGAAACTGTGGAGGGGGGAAAGATTTTGGACTAACTATATATTCATAGAGCTTTTTGTAGGGCTTTTCCTACTGATAAAGACCTCCCCAAATGCCATTCATACTATTCTAAAGCAGACAAGTAAGAGTTAAACTATTAAAAGACAGAAACGTGTTAGCGCGGTTAGCTTGTTAATGCAGTTATGGCGTTAACGCCATTTTAAAGAGATTAACGCTGACAGCACTAGTTTTTTGTTTTTTTCAATGTTAATGATAGAAAAGCATTTATGTTTAGGCATTTTAGCATTTCATCCTGTAGAAAAACTGAATTGAATTGTTGAAGTGCACTTCTTTTTCCTATGTTTAAGATATCTCTGGATTTTTAAAGGTGCAGTAAAAAGGCTTTAAATTGACAAAGGGTTGAGTTTTCAATAGTATGATCAAAGTGAATTGCATGTGGCCATGGTGTAAAGTGAGTTTGACATTCTTGGGCTATAGTTTAACCCAGGCACAGACTTAAAAAACTGGTTTTGCTTTGCATTATATGCCTGCCAGAGTGAGCTCCAGCACCCCGGGGGGGAAGGGCACTGAATATGATACACTGAAATAACCAAGAGGCAGTCTCACCTAATCTCCACCACCTCTGTGTCTCCTCCTCCAGCAGCAAAGCAGAGCGCCCACCATCGTTGAGCCTGTACCCTGATGGCATGGTACGTGGGGGACTCGGGGGGGCTAGGATGATTCCCGGGAAAGACATCTGGCAGGTCAGCGAGCTCGGCCACTCTACCTTCAGCTCCGCCTACCAGGTGGGACAGAAAATGGCCCTGTCCTCCTCCCTCGACCATAACAGCAGCCTGGGGAGTGGAAAGGGGGAGAGGCTGGCATTACTGCTGCCGGCCACACCCACACGGACCACCTCCCCTCCCACGCCTGCTTGTGTCACTTTTGAGGAAATTAATTTTGCATTGGAAATCTCAGTTGTTGTTTTTTAATCTAATTAGTTAGGTATAAACGATATGTTGACCCAAGCAAGCAGGGACCGCCGTTAGATGTTTGTTTTTGGCTTCATGCAGTTTTTTCTTGTGTCCTTATTTTACTGTGGCGTTGTGAAGCTGCTTTTTGTGTCGTGTTTTAGTTTACGCTTTTACGCAAAGTTTAAGCTCATGTTTATTAATGTTCATATAAACTGACAGCATACAGTGCTTCATATGTTATCCAAGGAAACCCCATTTCCTTGAACTCAGTCTGAAACACACAATTTACAATTTTAATATACTCAATACAATTTAAATGACTCAGCATAATTTTTTTATCCACAAGAGTCTAATGTGTTTTGCCTTACATATTTAGCCCCGTCACTTTACCTATTTGTTATCTAAGATAAATGTTTAAACCCATTCCCAAAATAAAACAGCAGAAAATTCCCAACTTTACAATCAGTGAGCAAAGTAAGAGACATCCCCGGCCTTCTTTCATTGCACGATGCTCATATAATGTCATTTGTGTCTCACCAAGGAGGACGGATCAGAGTCGGACTCGGTGGCGGCCACACCCAGCAGCACAGGAAGTAAGTCCAACACACCCACCTCCTCTGTCCCGTCCGCCACAGTCACCCCCATCAACGAGAGCTTCCACGGGCACGACTTTGACGTCACGCGGCCTGGAAACCGCAGGAAAAGCGCTAAGCGTCTCAGCCGGAATATGGAGGTGCAGGTTTCCCAGGAAACCAGGAATGTCAGCATCGGTAAGAGGATGTCACTGAGCGTGTCCTCACTTCAGAGGTTTGAAGTTACGCTGCATAAAATGTCAGTAGATTGCAGAGTTGCTCACAAAACGTTCAGACAGCCACACTCGGTACCCTGCTCTTCCAGGTATGGGAAGCAGCGACGAGTGGTCGGAGTTTCAGGAGCTCATCGATTCTACACCAGAGCTGGATATGTGTCTGGACCCCCGTATTTATGGAGGAGGAAACAGGTACAAGCAACAGTGTAGCTGCTTTAAGCACACAGTGTAAAAGGATATCAACATCCATGTTTTCCTGTCAAAACAAAGACAGAAACAGGTCTAGAAATCCTTTATGTGGTCAGAGCTTTGATGGATTAGTCCTGCGTATCAACAGCATTATATTATATATTTATTAAATAAATAAATATATGAAAAATAAATGTGTTTTCATGTGTTTCAGCCCCTCCCAGGGCATAGTTAACGAGGCCTTCGGCATCAACACAGACTCTCTCTACCACGAGATCAAAGACGCCAAGTCGGACATCATTGGGGATGTGGATGCAGGTGCTGAGCTGCTGGGTAAGAACAGGATTCTGGTTTCAGTATGTTTTGATATATTCATTATTGACACCCTAATCCAAGAGCCCCAAAGCCTGAAAGATACATCATTTTCCCATGAAAGTGCAATGCTGGTCAGCAGCACATGATTTACTTCAGAGGAGATACTTGAAAACAAATAAAAGCGCCATCTTCACCTCGTCCTCCCAGGGTGACTTTTACTATAAGCTAACAGGCCAATATGCCGTGTTATTGCACTCTAAATAGAGAAAATAAGGGCAGATGCATGTGCTGTGTGCGCGTGTTACACAGAGCCAGCATTTGTATTTTCTTTGCACTGCAGGCTCCGAGCTCCATGAGAGGCTGTGCGAATCTGCCGCTGCACTAACTTTACATTCTTTGTCTTGCATGGGGCGCTGCAGCGCACGTCTGCATCACCACACAGTCATCCTAAAAAACACACAATCTCACACATCCATGCACTTTTTCTTTCATTGTTTGTCTTTGTTATACTTTGCTCTTGTTTTTACAGCAGTTTTAGGGGCAGAGGAACAGTAAATGGAGCAGATTTGAACAGATGTTTTTTGTCACTTATGTTCACATTACTCAGTTTAGATGCCCACTATCGCACACACCCCGTTTTGGGCTTATTCACACTGGGAGATTCTGGGAGATTTTGTGTATCAGTATTGACTCACTATCCCTGAGTTTTATGTTACAGAAGCAGGAAGCGCACTCTGACCCCGTCTCCTTGTCCATCTGTTAACCTCTCACCCATTTCCTTTTTTTCCCCTTTTATGTGCTTCTGCCGGTGACACCCATAGGCGAGTTCTCAGGTGTGTATCTGAACACACGTTGGTTGGTATTGTTTTCTCTTAACTCTCTCAACTCCTCTCTACTTTCCAAAATCCACTTTTAAAAGTAGATGCTAATCAGTGGATATAATTGATAACAAAGTAACTTTGGAGTTATTGTGATGCTATGCTAGTAGATGACAAGTGTCAATTAGCAAGCAGTGCAGTGGTTCAGTTCCAGTCCTTTGAGGTAGCGGTGAAGTAGCAGTTAATATTTTATTTTTATAATATTTTATTACTAGAAGCCATCCCTGTTTAATTTTCAGTGAGGATTTCAGTGGTGGGTCCTTTCAGTGGGTCTTTCTAATAGATTTGATGATATAAAGGTCAGATTGTCCTTTGGTTCTGTAGCCATGCCTAAAAACCAAATCAATAAATGCTTATCAGCGTCTTCTCTCCTCTCTTCCCGTTCTTCCTTTTCTTTTTTCCATCTCTAATCTTCACCCTTTCCTCTTTTCTCTCGTCTCCTTTTCTTCTCTCCTTGTTTTGCTTCCAGTCCCTGATGATTTCTTAGGTAAGGCGCCCCATGCCTGCGCTCACATTTGCTTTAGCTTTCACATCCCTCTGTTTGTTTATGTTATGTGGCTTCTTATTTATATTTTCTGTCATTTTTTTTATTCCTCATATGCCTGAAATGTTATCATCCTTCGGTAATTGCAGTAAATCTTTCGGACATTATAGAACATTAAAATAATCCAGTGTTAAAGAGATGTTGCAGAGCTCTTATTCAAACAAATACTAAATGTGTATATAGTGGAAGATATAATAACAGAAGAGAGTCAGGCAATGATAACAAATTAAGAAATGCATGAGCTCAAAAGCGGTCATGTGATAAAGAAAGTTTTCATATGACTGTGTGCAGTTCAAGAACTATGTGATTCAATCACCCTGTGATTCAGTGGGAATTAAGAGGGTCAGTAGCTGCCAAGCAAATGCACTTGACTAACTGATCATCGGCGAATGTGAGCACCTCCATCAAAGCAGAGGTTTTGGCAGTTTGCTGGTCTGGAGGAACGCTAAGGAGGAAAGACATCAGCGATGATCTTCGAGAAGTAAATGTTGATGCCCAACAATCTGGGAAAGGTTAAAAGGTCATTTCCAAACAGCTTAATTCTACAGTGAGAAAGATGAAAACATTCAAGACAGATGCCAATCTTCCCATGAGTGAATGTCTCAGGAAATTCTATAGGTGTCTATAGGCATGTTAAATGTTACTGATAATGACAGTACAATTAGAAAAAGACTGAACAAGTATGGAGATACTTTCTCATATTGCACAGCACCAACAACTCATACCAGCTGTCAAGCACGGTGGTGGAGGGGTCATGTGTTGGGCTTGTTTCTCAGCCTGGACACCTTAAAGTCATTGAGTCAACCAAAATATTCTACAGTCAAGTGTGAAGCATCTGTCAGACGGCTCAAACTGGGTCATGGCACAGTGATTCCAAGCGCAGCAGCAAATCTATAACAGAATGGCTGAAAAAGTAAAGAATGAAGGTGTTGCCATGAACCAGTCCAGTCCAGACTCAAGGTTTTGACTGGAATGCTGTGGTGGGACCATAAGAGAGCTGTGCATAAACAAATGCTCACAAATTTCGATGACCTGAAGCAACATTGTAAAAAAGAGTAGGCCAAAAATCCTCCACATAGATGTGAGAGACTGTCATACAGAAACCAATTAATTCAAGTTATTGCTGTTAAAGGTTTTTCTACTGAATCATGGGGTCTGCTTAGTTTTTTCACAGGTCTGCATCGAATGATGTGAAAACTTTCTTTTTATTTCTTCAGGATGAAATTCTTTAATTAATTTGAGCTCATTTTAAATTTGCTGTCAGAAGTGTTAAAACATGACATCCTGATACTGAGGAGTTATTTTTCCATCCCTGCAGTGACATCACACACCACAACATAAACGTACACTTTTAATCCAGCGTATAATATAATCCACTAAATGTAACACCTATAAAGACCCATCAGCGTTTTTGTTTTGCTTGTTTTTGATGCGTTCTCATGTCTCAGAGTTTCTCTGAGTCGATGTGAGCTTTGCTTTTGCTTTTGCTTCCATGTTTGTTTGTTTTTGGGGGGTTTTTTCAGTTCAGTTTGGGCAATAACGTCGATAAATAGAATTGAATTTTCAATACGATGACATGTTTATGCATGATAACACTAATACTATAATCATTAAAAGATGAACCCTGAATTTTAAAAATTTTGCAACTAGTTTGGATTTTGTGTTTAAGGTGAAAATAACCTACTTTACTCTGTCTACATTCAAGACATAAATAATAAGAGCAATGAGTTATTTTTAAGATTTCTCAGTATGTTTCCAACATTTTACAGATAAGTCCTTTGTTAGCTTGACTTCTCCTTGTTGTGAATAGTAGAACTTCAATCATTAATAACTTACTAAACCTCTTATATGAAAACTCATCCTTTGTCCCACACTTACTTTGGTTTGCCTTGAAAGCAGCGTTAACACATAAATGGTTTTCTCATCAATCAGTCGATTGAATAGATCGGCTTATAAATAAATTATGATTTTTGTTGTGGGGGAGTAACAGTGATGTGAATGTGATTGTTTCAGGGATGAGCAAGGAGTGGGAGAACATGCTGGCAGAGAACAAACAGCTCTTACAGACCAAGTAAGAGACTCGGTGAAGCCTAATATGCGCCTGATGATGCTAACGTCACACCCTTTCTGCATTTCATTCAAAGGAAACGCTGAAAGATTTGTTTTTAGTATTGAGACACTTGATCATGGTTACCTCCTGTTTTCTTATACAACATGTTCTTAGACCAAAACCCTACGTGTGAATGTGAAATTGCAGCTGGTAGTTTCCCACTATATCCCCTTTCTGTCCTTTGCTTGGCAGAAATGCTCTAAATATTGTCAAAAATGACCTTATTGCCAAAGTGGACGAGCTGTCGGGGGAGAGGGAGGTACTGAGGGAGGAGCTGGAGGCGGTGAGACAGTCAAAGAACAAGGTGGATGCCAGAATCAAGGAACTCGAAGAAGAACTCAAGAGGTAAAAATTAGCAACGAATGTTTGAGTCCTTGCACAGACGCAGGATGCTGTGCTTGCTTTTGTGTAATTTAGACTTTAATAGGTTTTTTCACATGACACCCACCTTTAAGATCATCAGTAAAACAATCAAATCAACCCGCAGCAACATAAATGATTAAAATGATCTTAATGAGACATGCCGACATCTAACTGTTCTATTTCTGTTAGCTAATAAGCATCTTTAGCACTTTATTGAGTTCAAATGTTATTGTTTAGTAGTTGCTTTGGAGGAGTATGTAATCTCTGTGTTTTTGTTTGTTGGCTGCAGGTTGCGAGCAGAGGCTCTGGGGGCTTCTCGGGACTCCAAGGATGAAGTTGGTGATGATGTGAGTAGAACTGCGCCTGCCTCAGGCTGAACTACTGATGCGTTCATGTCTCTATACAAATATGAGAAGCAGAATAGAAAGTCTTCAGTTAGCTTTCAGACTGAAATGTCTAGTATTGGTTTGGACATCTTATCCTCTCAGATCTGTCTTATTACTTTGTGGCACAGATTCACCAAAGTGCTGGAAACATTCCTTAGAGATTTTGCTCCATATTGAAGTGACAACATCACACAGTTGCTGCAGATTTGTCGGCTGCACCACCAGCACCAGCGTTACCCAGGATGGATCCATGCTTTCATGTTGTTTACACCAAATTCTAACCCCACCATCCAAATGTTTCAGGACAAATTGACACAGTGGACCAGTCAAAGTTTTTCCAATAATAGCACACGTAGGCTTTTCTGCTCTACTCGAGTACTCTGTACAACAATCCTCATTCGCCCATATATACAAGCACTTTTTGAAGTACTGTTCCTATCACCTTCTCTTTTTTGGACCATTCTCTGTAAAACTTGGAGATGATCATGTGAGAAAATCCCAGTAGATCAGCACTTTCTCAAATACAGCAACGTGATTGGTTGAATAGATATTTGTGTTAACAACCAGTTGATTGGGTGTACCTAATAAAGTGGCCAGTGCATGCATATGCCACAGACTAGTTTTAGGCTGATGTAGAGAGGGATTTCCAAATTAACACCAGGTCTCTGTTCTCTCATGCGACCAGTTTTCATCGCCGATGCAAGACGGCGACATGACAATGACCCAGCGGCGGCGATTTACCCGGATGGAGATGGCCCGGGTGCTGATGGAGAGAAACCAGTACAAAGAGAGACTGATGGAGCTGCAGGAGGCCGTACGGTGGACAGAGATGATCAGGTAGACTTGAGAGAACAGGAAGTGAAATGCTTCTGGGCTTAAAGTCAACACACAGAGTTTTCCTTAAATGTGAACCCATATTCTGTGTCAGTATCTTGTTGTTCTGAGGTGGTTTTTCTGAGTGGCATCATATTTTTTACGGCATTTTTAACTGTTTTTATTCAATTTTTGTCATTTTCTTATACTTTCCAGTTGTTTTCACTTCATGTGCCCTATTTATAATGTTAAAAGTGTTATATTATAGTACTATAAATAACTTTTATAAGTAGTCTTATTATTTTAATTTCATCTCTCTTTCCCCCTCAGAGCATCCCGTGAGAATCCTCCCATCCAAGAGAAGAAGAAGTCTACCATCTGGCAATTGTGAGATTCTGCTTTTAATCAGCTTTCTATAGTGATATAAAAGAAAAAGAAATATCCTAAGCAAATTTCTCTTTCTGTCCATCTTCTAGCTTCGCACGTCTCTTCAGCTCATCATCCAGCCCGCCGCCCGTCAAGCGGCCGTTCTGCAACGTCAACATCCATTACAAATCTCCCTCACCGGCCGGTTTCCCTCAGAGACGCAGCCACACCATGTGTCAGATCTCCACCTCCAACCGTACCCTGGAGTTCTTCCCTGAAGAGTGAGCGGCGGCTGAACTTCCCCACATCACGCATCACTCTAAACCCCCACACTTATCTGCTAAACAGCTTGCTGCTCGCTCGCTTGTGGCCACTCAGACCTCTTTTATTTCCCCTTAAACGCAGTTTTTTGACCACAAATGTTTGTCTGGTAAAGACACAAAAGCCACAAAAACACCAACCTCCCAATCACACAGACACAGAGGCCTCCGATTTTCTTCTTTTATGTCTTAAGACACTAAACTGCACGTTACTTTTAGTCATTTTAGAAGATTGCTTGGCGGTAGTTATTGCACTTGCTTTTACTTGCCTTCTCTTCTTCATCTCTCTTCTCTTTGTCTCCTGCTGCTGGCTGGCCAGGCTGCTAACGCTTCGCTTTTTTCTTCTCTTCCCTTCCCTGCCTCTCGCTTCTTCCAGACTGGCCAGTAACGGTGTTGCGTCTCTCCTCAGTGACTCGGCGATGTTGGCCCGCCGAGAGCAACGCCGTGAACAGTACCGGCAGGTTCGTGAGCACGTGCGCCGTGATGACGGCATCATGCAGACCTGCGGCTGGAGCGTGCCATCTCGATTCAAACAGGTACCCAGAGTGCTGCCTGTGCGAACAAGAAAACACACATGAGGAGAAACATAAGATTTTAACAAAGCATTGACTGCCAAGAGGGTGAATACTTAAGTGCGTTCAAAATAATTTTTAAAAATCTTTTGTAAAGTTGTGAAAAACTCCCGGTTCCACATTATCTCCATATTAAATGAGAGTGCCAATTACTTGGGCTTGAATGAATTTCTTAGTAGTTCTCAATTACGTTTGCTACTAAAAGTTCAGTAAAACCAATATTCAAAGTCCCAGAAGTTTGATTCTGTTCATCTGGACGCAGCGTCTTTAGTCGGAGAAACGTTTTGTCACTCGGATGTGTGAACAGAATCAACTTTCTGGGATCCTTACCTGGATGACTGATGACTGAGCATGCATCAAGACAGTCTATGAAGTCATTTCTGAACCTTTCAACAGCTACTGGATCTTATTTAAAACTATACATGCCTCTTTTTTTAATGCTAATTCTTATATGTGAAAGTCGAGGGCATTGAACATTATTCTGCAGCACACTGTCAGTGAGAGAAGATTTCATTCAGTGATTTTAAATTTGCTTACCCAAGCTTCAAAGTGAAATTATCACTAGTTGGCCCTGCGGGGCATTTGTATAAACAGGAAATAAAAGTACGCAAAAGCCAGTGAGAACATGTGGTCTTTTTGAAGTTTGTCTGCTAATGCATGCAGAGCTGTTTAAAGTTACCCAACAGAAGTAAACGAGACCGTTGGAAATATTTTCAGCTGTGGTTTAAATGCATTTGGTACTTTAGTGAGCATTTGCTTGACATGCTGGACAGCATGACTGACTCTGAACTAGCTAACAAACTTCCTGTTTACTGACATGATGGAAAAATATCTGATCACTGGATATTTCCTCTTTTTAGGGCCACACTCTGTAAACCTTAGAGTTGGTTGTGTGGGAAAATCCCAGTAGATCATCAATTTGTGAAACACTCAGATCAGCTCGTCTGTCTAAATGCATAAATGTACAAAGATCCCGCCATGTGGAAACAGGTGTACCTAATAAAGTGGCCAGTGAGAGTATCAGGATATACTTTTGCACATAATTGTTAGAGGAATCGGTTTATTCTGGGTTCTGGCTTTTATGAGGTTTGCTGATTTTAAAACTGATCAGCACGGAGACGAGCCGACAACCCTCAGTGTTTGATTTTAAGCTCGCAGCATGGAAGCGTGCTTTCAATTTCGGCCAGCGGACTTTAAGGTTGGCTCTGTGCAGCTTGAAGGCCAGAGTGCAGAAGGTGCTGGTAGGCAGGTGGCTCTAACTCTGGTCTCCCACAGACTGGTGGTCAGACGGACAGCGCTCAGGACAGCCCGCTGAAGAGGCAGCAGGCAAGTGAGACCGACAGAGTGCCAGCATGCGCCTTTATGGCTCCCTCTCCCTTTTAACCTTCCAACCAAAGCTCTGACCCCTAGACAGCAGCGGACAGCTAATAGAAGAGGAAAGACATGCAGATACTTAAGGAAGACTTTTATTTTGAGCACTCCAAGTGAAGGCTTTTAACAAAAAGACTATTCTGTGAGGAAAAGGTTGCCACTGTACAGTACATTCACTGTTCCTCTGGAAATGCATGAATAGTTTTGTTTTTCAGCATGATGCAAATCAGAAAAGGCTGTATTTCGAAAACATACATGTGTTACACACCTTGCTCTTTGATGAAGGCCTTCCTGTGGAGTTTATTCCATCTGATCTCCTCTCCCTCTGCTAGTGGTGTTGCAACCTTTTAACCTTTAACCTCTGTCTGTCTCAACCTGCCCTACTTAACATATGGATGTTACTCCTGTGCATTATCTCAGTATCATAAAGGAAAAATCCACTTGGTAAAATACTCACAGTCACCAAGTCATTAGGCAGAGTTTTGTCAACCCGAGATGTTTAGATGTCTCATTTGACTCCTTTTGCTAACAGAATTCTATCAATATATTACGATTTTTCAAGTAGAGCTACAAAAGTTAGCAGCCGTGTAAAGATTATACTTCGGTTAGAGAGCTGCACTGTTTTGCACCTGTGTATATTTACTGTGCCAGTCATTTCACCTCCTTATAAAGGTGCTTTAACTAAGTGGTAAAAATGCTTTTTCCCTAAAATTATGTGTCTCACCTCATGCATAATGCACACGCTCTCTGGGGACAGCCCTGCGGCATCCTGGGAAAAACAGGGAACTGAAAAAGGAGTTGAGATTGTGTTAGCCCCCTGTAATGCCAAGTGTTTTATTTTATACATTAGGTTTTTTAGACATCTACATCATCATTGTGATTTTTTTTTAACAAACTTTGAGCAATAAATTACACAAAAATGCCAGATGTAGCAAGATTTATACAACTTAAAAGTCATGTATGCAAACTGATATTTCATATCTTTTAAAAAAAATTCTATAGGTTAAAAAAAACCTCCCATTTTTAAAAAATGTAAATTGTCTGGCAATTATTTCATGGTTCAGGCTTTACAGGGTTGCAGATAGGAGAGAAGCAGTGGAGTTTTCCTTTAATGCTTGCTGTGTATGTGCTGTTTACAGCACATTCACATACTGGGAATGTTTTCATTTTCTTCAGTGTCCAGTAAAACTGGAGACCAGATGATAATTCACTGCTTTTGCTTTTCTGCTGACAAATTCCCACCTGTGCTTTTAGACAACCAACGAGAAAGAGGATAACCGCATGAAGAATGTCCCCGTCCCAGTTTACTGTCGCCCTCTGGTGGAGAAGGATCCCAACAGGAAGGTGGGAGAAAATCAGGAGGGATGAGGGTTTTCTGTGAAAAAACAAAAACACCTCAGATCTGTCGTTAAATGTCTTTTTGTTTAGGTTTTGTAGAATTATTACCACTAACCATGTGACATTAACTTGCCTGCCATTTCGGACATATGGCAACCACGGTGAATAAGACCCCAGTCACACAGGCTCTGTGACCATCTGGCAACCATTTGTAAAGGAACAATGATTGTTGGTTGCTGGAGGTTGATGGCATTCTTGGGGAAAGTTATTTTCTAGTGACTTGCCCATGAAGCACACAGGTCACACAAACCAAGAATAGACTTTTCAGTAAAGGAGATCTCGAGACATGTTGTATCTCGTAATTAACCGTTTGTAATGATCAATACTGGGGGGAAAAAAACTTCAAATGTCAAAGTCTAGCTGTGCAAAAGCAGAAAGTGGACTCCAGAGACATAATGTGAACTTAAAATCAACTTTTAATACTGATCATTCAGAGGAATAACAAAAAACTTCTGCACATTCAGAAACTAGGTAAGTATTTGAGTTGAACAGAAGGCAGAGAGACACACAGCTATGGTGGAGGACACGACAAAGAGCTGAGGAAAACTGAGGACTTAAATACACACGAGGTAAAAGAGAGAGCGGAAACAGCCGGGGGGAAATAAAACACAGGTGAACAGAATCTAACTAAGGAGATGAGAGACTAGCAAAACTAAACAGGAAACATAAACACTGACACTCAGAATAGGACATATGAGCATTAAACAGACATCATCTAAGGAAGAACCGAGAACTAAGAAAGAATATAACAGAACTAGGAAATAATATTGTACATAATAGACATCTAAGACTCAAAAGAACACATCATGAACTCCACATCACTCAAAAGCCTGGCTCATGACCCAAAGTCACATGACTATACAGATTATTTTGCCCTGAAAACATTTGTTTGTGTTTCTTTTCTGCTATCTCACTGCAAGCGACATTTTCATGAGGATCTGGTGACAGCTGGTGTTCAGTCACTGCTAATCAAATATGATCAGCCCACACTCACAGAGTCATCATAAAGCACTTGAGCTGAATGTCTCTGTGCTAAACTCTGTTATTTAGCTATAAATAATTATTCTATCTGAAGGCGACATTATAAGACCCAAATTATGACTCTTGCACCGCGAGCCACATTAAGCCTCCAAATCATTTTTAAAAAGGTCACTATTGCAGGCATCTGCTTGCTTTTAGAAAACACATATATTAATATAATATGTATATATGTATTTATTATGCCTGTGTGTCTGTGTGTGCACATGTGTGCAGCTGTGGTGTGCAGCAGGAGTGGATTTGACAGGATGGAGAGTCAGCAGCCAGGAGACATCAGAGAAAGCACCAGCGTGCAGCACCGACCCTCTGCACGCTGAGGAGGACGGAGCTGATAAGAAGAAGAACCACACGTCTCCCGAGAAGAGGAAGGTGATTACAGCTCGCTTTCAAAACAGGCATTCATGTTGGCTAACGCAGAACACTATAAGTTAATATGTGCAAGAATTATCCTCAGTCGTTTAGAGTATGTCTAAAAATACTTCTGCTGGTGCTGGTTTCACTCACCGAGTAGACAAGGGTGCAAATGTGCAGTGAGGCCATTTACTGGATGTCTTTCGCCACGTTTCCTGTCTTCTTGTCTAAAAAAAAAAATCTTTAGATGCATTTAACTGCTCAAAACGATTCTAGATAGCATACACGAGTCATGGCTGTGTGCAAATTTAATTCTGCTTAGAAGGATTAAGTGAAGATCTGTCCAGGAGCCATTGTAGGAGCAGGCTGAGTTATCCAAATACTAATGAATGGTGCTTCGGTGCTTCCTTTACTGACCCATCGATTATGAAACAAAAAGAAATAAAAGCATCTCAAAGCCTCAGATCTGGCCCACTGCTCAGCTTTGGAAAATGTGGAAAACTATTTAACTTGGGTCTTTTAACTGTTTTACATCTTTTTCTACTGATACAACCTGAGACCATAAGTACTAATACAAATACAGTTAAATGACAGAAAAGTTCCTATTTTTTCACCGCATGCTATAGAAATATTTGTGTTTTTTACAATAAGTTAAAAAAAGGGTGGTGTATGCGACTCACATCCCTGTCCTAAGGGCTTCTTAGAGCACTGAGACAATGGGCACATGTGCTGCTGTTTGGAAACAAGCCACACCTCCTCTTCGGGGTGGAGAGGACTTTCCCCCTTTGAACACCTACTTGGTGTAACTGAGTGATTTCTATCATATTTCATCTCTGCTGTATTTGAAGAATCCAAATCTGTTCTAATTATCATTAAGGGTCCAGGGGCGGTCGTCACATGTCGTCTTTACGAGAGTTAAACCAGAGCTTGTTGTTTCATGCTGCTACTCTAGGAAAATGTGTAACGCAGCTGGTCGGCAATGAAGTGATATTTTCTGCTGGGTTTTCCATGTTTATCTAATGTGCAGAGTAAAGAAGGAAAGTGTCTAAGATGCCATTTTTGTTGTCAGGTATTGAGACGTAGTTTAACAACAGCAGGTCCACATTATCCACATCTCACTTCTGTGAGATTTCCTCGTCACGTTTTCCACAATAATCAGGGAGCAGTGATCATTTAAAGACATCTGTGCTCTTCCTCTTTGTCATCTTTGTCTCCTCTTTCCTTTGCTCCCTCAGTCAAAGGAGCTCCAGGAAACAGACACAATGAGCAGTCGAGTGTGGATCCTCACCAGCACCCACTCTGCCAGCAAGGTGGTCATCATCGATGCCAACCAGCCCGGCTCACTGGTTGACCAGTTCAATGTCTGCAATGCCCATGTACTCTGCATCTCCAGCGTGCCAGGTGAGAGTGGAAGTGCTGCTTTGTTAGATGTTTGAACATGTGACTGCCTTCAACTTCTTGTTGCTTTGCGGTAAATGTTGGGTTTCTTGCATTTTCATATGTTAAAGTGCGTCTGTGTGTCTGTCTGTGGGTGTGTGCCTGTGCACAGCTGCCAGCGAGAACGACTATCCAGCCGGAGAGATCGTGTTGGATCCAGGTGAAGGTGGAGCAGGGGGAGGAGAGGACACCGGCAGCGTGGAGGGCATGTTGGCCGGCATCACTCTAGTCGGCTGCGCCACCAACTGCAGCGTTGCACGTAGCAACTGTTCCTCTCGCACAGATACGCCAATCATGGACAAAGGACAAGGTGGGCGCATGATAGATACTCCTTCACTCATGTACTTTTAAGGAAAGTGAGAGGTGTGGATGTCATAGTGTCATTTTGCTTTAGCTCCCATTGCTCCACCGATGAATGGGAAGATTCACCCAGCCCAATCAGCCGAGGAAGCCACGGAGGCCACAGAAGTTCCCGAGTCAACGGCCAGCAACACAGAAATGAGATCTGGACCTCCGGGACCGTTTACTGAGCACGTCTTCACTGATCCTCAGCCTCGCCCAGCAGATGCCTCTGATAGGTAGGAGGTCAAAGTCTGACAAGTCCTCAGGATTGTCTAGGATAAATTAAATAGCACGTTATCAGACAAGGGAAGGAAACAGTTACTGTAAGCATGCCATCAAAAGTGGATCAACTTCCCTGTTTGGAACCTGAAACTCTGAATTTTCCACACAGGAGCTCAGGCCAGTCCAAGGAGGAAACATCACACCCTCCAGAGTCAGAGGATGGAGGTGATGAGACCAAAAACTACACCAGCGTGGCCCCCACCATGTGGCTCGGGGCCCAGAATGGCTGGTGAGTCACTCACAACGTCTGCTGAAGCCTCACAGTGTCCACTATCACAGCAGTTTATGGCGTTTTTCAGCATTTTTAACCCTGAGTCATTAGAGTCATTAGAGTCATTAGAGTCAACTAGAGTAAGTTAAAGCTTAAATCAACATTTGATGGATGATTTTTGATAAACATAACAGCTTTACAGTTACTTTATCCTCATCCTTGTGCCTTCCAGCTAAAACACACATAAATCTTGTGCATCTTATAGTTTCTGTGAGCTCGGGAGTATCCTGATTCTGTTTTTCCTTCCAGGCTTTATGTCCACTCAGCTGTGGGAAACTGGAAGAAGTGTCTCCACTCCATCAAACTTAAAGACTCAGTGCTCAGTCTGGTGTAAGAAGAAGAAAAAGACATCAATGCATCTCTTATTTTTATATGTAGTTTTAAGCAGAGTCGAGGATTTTATTTTTATGAGTTTCAGTTTGTCCAGTGATCTCCATCCTTGTAATTGCAGGCATGTGAAAGGCCGCGTGCTGGTTGCCCTCGCCGATGGGACACTCGCGATATTCCACAGATCGGAGGGTAATCGAACTTTAACAGAGACACCAGACGTTAGTCTGTTAGGGGAAGTTATGGTTGCAGGTGGAATTGGAGCGTTGCCACCAGTTCAATGTGCGTGCACAGTCAAAATCAAAGATAGAGAAAGCAGTCGATAAATGACTCCAGTAATATGACACAAAAGGCACAAAAATGCACATTAGAAAGGAATGTAGGGATGATTTAATTTATATGTATGTTTATTTACCTTTGTATTAATTCTTCCATATATTGATTTTATATAAATAAATAGCCTCAACCCACAGTATTATTGTTAGCTAGGTTAGCTCGGCAGCTCAGGTCTTGAGAAATCTCTTGTCTGAGATTCATCAGTTGTCTAACAGGCTGTGATTCAAAGTGTTTCCAGAGGACAGTTACAGGGACGGTCCCTTTATTTACCTCATTTAATGAAGCAGAGATGTGCAAAAACTCACAGAAACACATTTAGCTAATGTGTGTGTTTCTGTCATCAGATGGCCAGTGGGATTTGTCCAACTACCACCTCATGGACCTCGGCCGACCTCATCACTCCATCCGCTGCATGGCCGTCGTCCACGATAAAGTGTGGTGCGGCTACAAGAACAAGATCCACGTCATTCAGCCAAAGAGCATGCAGATAGAGGTGAGGCACGAGCCCGCTGTCGCATCGCTGTGCTGAAGAAACGTCTGCAGCTTCAGTGCTGCAAACGTGTTATTTTCAGTTGTAATAATATAATAAACACCACTAAATCCTTTCTGTTTGGCAGAAGTCCTTCGATGCCCACCCTCGGAGGGAGAGTCAGGTACGGCAGCTAGCCTGGATCGGTGATGGAGTCTGGGTGTCGATCCGACTGGATTCAACCTTGCGTCTCTATCATGCGCACACGCACCAGCACCTCCAGGATGTAGACATAGAGCCATACGTCAGCAAGATGCTGGGTGAATTTATCTTAGTTTATTTTGTGAAGTGTGACGTTTCACTTTTGGAGTTGCATGTGATCTGTGCAGCATCCCACTCACTCTGGTTGTGTCTTGTAGGTACCGGCAAGCTGGGATTCTCTTTTGTGCGAATCACAGCGCTTCTGATTGGTGGAAATCGTCTTTGGGTCGGGACTGGAAACGGTGTCATCATCTCCATCCCACTGACAGAGAGTATGAGTCTTTTTTCTTTATTTTTTGGTGCCTAAAGGATCAAAAGTGATTATTTGTCTTAAATACTTGAAGTTTTAGGTGGTTTACACAGCAGAATATCTGGATAACCTGTCAGCAAATGTTTGTTACATTTGATGCACGGGACCAGGCTCCCAAAGGATACAGATACAGGTGTACAGTTCATAAAGTTGGCTTTATTTTACCCTCCAAAATGTTAAAAGGTAAATCAAAAACACAACAGCACTTTACAAAATAAAAGAAGAACTTATAAACTGATCAAATGGGCACAACTTGACTTATATTACTCATGGAGCAAGCCATTATAAACACAAAGGGAGGTAATAACCACACTCACTACAAAGAAACCCTGCCCAAGCTATCAAAGCAGATGTTTAATGCACTTGTTAGGCATCTCCATGCAAACCAGCTCCACCCTCAGCTATAAGCAGTATCAAATATTTACGTAGTCACTGTGACCTCACCCACTGCTTTTAAACTGCATTTTTAAAATTCAACTTTTAAAGTTTGGGGTTTTTTTGTTTTTTAACCTGATGAGGTTGAAGTGATGGAGTCCTAATTTATCAGCTTCCCCATGGTGTAACACAGACACCCATACTGGATAATTAAACACTAGGACTTTAACTCACCAAAACCTCTGCAATGATCTGAACCACACAGACATGAGTTCAATAATCCATTAGAAAGGGACACTTCCCAATCAATCACAAATAACACCATGATCATAATCATCAAAATATACTTTATTTACTTTATAATGAAATTGATTTTGCAAGTTTTAAGTTAAGGACAGCCTCGTGAGATGATGATTTTAAGTAGCAGAATTCCTAAAGTCTGACTTGCATGCGCTCCACAATCTGTGTCCTTTTCAACCATGCTGCTACGATTGGTGGTAAGTGGCTCCTAGAGGAAATGCAGTTTCTGGTCTCAGCTAGTTCTTTTTATAATAAACAGGCAGGACTGGAGCAGCACAGAGGTTACGCAAAAGACAGAGAAAAAAAGAGTGCAAATGAAATTTAGATGACAGTGAACGAAGACAAACAAACTGAATGTGTGCTGAACCTGAAGCTCAGCAGGTAGGACTACAGTAAACTTAACATGAACCCAATCTTGTCAAATGTCCTCCGTAAAGGAAATTCATTAGGTGGCCGAATTTGGCTCATTTGTCCACACAAACACTCTCCGCTACCGCAGCACTCTCTATCAGTCTCTTTAGTTTCCTTCTTCTTCTCCCCATCAGCTCCCCAACTTTCTCCACCTTCTGTTTTTCTTTGCTTCCCTCTGTGGTTTCACCCCTTTCACAAACTCTCCGTCGTAACTGTTACTGTTGCTGTGCTCTTTCTCCCGCTCTCCCTCCACTCTCCTCCGCCTCCCGTAGCGGTGGTCCTTCACCGAGGACAGCTCCTGGGTTTGAGGGGTAAGTGGGAGCGCTCCTAACCTCCTTTTCACCCGGTCGAGCCTCCGTGTCTCCTGATACAACGTATCGCTTGCTGTTAAACTTTGTCTGCTATGTGCTTGTTCTGGGTACGTGTCCAGCTCTTTGAGCAGTGCAACAGTTTAGCTGAAGGTCACAGAGTACACTGTGTGCAAGGATTTCACAGTTTGCTGAACTTTAAAAGCAGCTTTTTACTTGGGATTTGTTTTGCATGTCTATGATTTGTTTATTTTTACGCGTAACAAATCCATTGCATGCAGCGGGCGTCTTTTAGCGAGCTGAGATTTTTTTTTTCAAAAATCCTTTGTTTTCAGTTGATCTGTGGAAAATAAATTTTTATTTGATGATGTCATGCTACCGAATGTGATTTGTTCACAAACACGTGTTACTCGTGTACTCTTACCCTTTACTCTCTCTACCAGCCAATAAGGTGTCACCTACATCTTCTGGCGGGGTGATCCATGTGTACGGCGACGATGGCTCTGAGAAGAGCAGCGGCAGCTTCATCCCCTACTGCTCAATGGCACAGGCCCAACTCTGTTTCCATGGACACCGTGATGCTGTCAAGTTCTTCGTCTCTGTGCCGGGTAGGCCTGAATCTCTGCTCCCTTTAATTCTAAATTTTAAATGGACTGTGCACTAATAAGCATGTTTAAATTTACACGTCTTGTCTTAAATGTTGAAAGACACATATGTAGACATCACAAATCTGTGATAATACTGTTCCATCGCTCTCAAAATGTTAGTGACTATTTATTATCTAAGCTCTGCTTCTTTCCAAACCTTTCTGATATATTAATCTGACGTTAAAGAAAGATTGTGTTTTGTTACTTTGTGAAGGTGTCATCAGTGACACTTTCAATACGTAAATGTCATTTTCAGTAACATCTTTCTTTCCTGTTTTTCTTTTTCATTTGGTGACAGGCAATGTCCTGGCTACCCTAAATGGCAGTGTGTTAGACAGTCCATCAGAAGGACAGGGCTCCACCGCTCCCACAGAGACGGAGGCGCAGAGTGTTCAGAACGTGTTGGTGCTGAGTGGAGGCGAGGGTTACATCGACTTCCGCATAGGTGAGCATTCAAACCTGTCCTGAAACCAGTGCGTAAATCCGATACTGCATATTTTGGTATCGATCTGATATCGAGTAAATACAGTATTGCCGATACTAATACCGATATTCATACTTTTAACTTATTCAGTTCAATTCAGTTTTATTTACTTAGCACCAAATCACAACAACAGTTTCCTCATGGCACTTTATATTGTAAGGTAAGTACCCAACACTAATAAAGGTACAACTTTTAAAGCCAGCTTATGTAGGAGAGGGCTAATAAATCACTGTGGTTTTTACTTTCCACAGTAATAATTAACACAACAAAACACACGTTTTATGTTTTTTTTCCATTTTCACAAACTAAATTATCGATCCTGTGGCACTAGTATCGGTCCAATACCAATAAAAGCATTGGTACTTGTGTTTCTGATACCTGGATTGAACCACTCACCCCTAGCAGCCATGGTTTTTTAATTTGAGAAGTTGGAACTTTTTCCGTTTGGTCCTGTAATGGTCTTGGACTTGGATGGTTCATTAGCAAGTAATGAGTAATTAGTTAATTAAAGGTTAAAGAAACCTACTGGAATAGGACATGCCTTTTATAATCCATGTCACCAGCATAGTTATGTACTTTCTCATGCCTGCTTCTTTACCACAGCATCCAGGTAAGTTGGTTAAGTGTAAATAACAGCAGACGGTCTTTGTTTTTGCTTGAACAGCAAAGCTGATTAGCTGTCTGAAAGAGCAACGTGAGTGTATTTAGACTCATGAAAAGTACAATAGTATCACATCAAATTATGATGAATGATGCAGTTTCAAAAAGTACACAAAATGCTTGTAACTATTTGAACACAAAGTTTGCTTTCATGTTTTCATGGCTCTGCTTTGTTTTTTCTTTCTTCTCAGGCGATGGAGAGGATGATGAGACGGAGGAAGGAGAAAATGGTGGTGGTGGGGCTTCGCAGAACAAACCTACTTTGTGCAAAGCTGAGCGGAGCCACATCATCGTCTGGCAGGTGTCTTATGTACCCGAGTGACACCTGAGATCTGCTTTAACACCTCACGCATCCACCCATCTCCTTAACGAGATCTCTTCTCCTGCCCAGAAGCTTTCAGCCACCCAAACCTTGTAATTTTCCCCCGGTCATGTAAAAGTCCCCCCTTTGGCTCTAAAACGACCATTAAAGCCGTGTATCGTCCCTTGTAACTATTATACCCCCTCCTGTCCCAGACCTTAAAACCTAGAAACCTGCCTGCCATCCTGTTTCTGTCCCACGCAGGGCATTGTAATGATTCATGAGCTTTGTAACCCAGCCTCATAACTACCTCCCTTCTCTGTATCAACCTTATATTCACCCTGTAAGCACACTGTATCTCTTCCTATATTTACCTCAATTGTCCTGCATCTGCCCCAGAGTTATTCCTCATCTTCCTCCATTTAGTTAATCATCAGTGAAAACTCCACCTCATTTTAAAGCAAAGCCCCAAAATGCACAAAAATAAGGAAAAAGAACAGCAGCAGCAGGAAAGGCAACACCGGCATGTAGACATCAGTCCTACCAACGGCCATCTGGCAGACCATTAACAATCAGGGACTCTGCTTTATGCATCTACATATTCTTAGACAGTGTGCGAGGAAGCAGAAAGCTAAGGCCTCGGTTTAAGGTCAAAGTTCACACAAAAGTGTGGCGTTCAAGTCAGGATGAGCATACACGGAACAAATAGGAAGTCAAATTACTTAATTTCCAACCCCCTGCAGAAGCCTGGGTTCTCCCAGCTGCTGCTTAAAACATTTTGCTTCACATGTCACAATGAGTCGCCTCCATAAGAGTCCTGATGGGGCTCTAAGGTCAGATTGTGTCCACATACAAAAGGAGTTCCACTGTGTCGAGGGTTCAGTCCAGATCTCATCTCTCTCATTTCTCTGCCTGGCTGTTGATGGGACGGTGAACAGTGGCGTGTTGTCATCGTATGTACAGGGAGTTGTGTAAATCTCCACTGAAACCCATCCTCTTTGTTCAGTATGGAAATTCTCGCATCGATCTCTATCTCTGTGTATTAAATATTAAACATATGTGTGCTCAGAACAATTAACCCGGGCTTGTGTCGTCTGTGTGTGTGTGTCTCACTTCACAACAAGAAGAACATTTTAAAAAGTATGTTAGGTTTATTCTTTTTTTTTGGACAGTGGTAAAATAAAGCTTCTTAACAGCCAATAAAAGCATAAACGTGACCAATCAGGTAAACATTATTTAGTGCAGCATCACTTTAACAGGCTATATGCATTTGGGGAGCTGGAAAGTTTACATTCAAGTACTTTTACTTTTACATCTTTGTACTTGGAAAGTACAAGAAGCTGAACGTGTGTGCAAGGCAAAGACAATGTGTTGGTAAACTGCTCCCGTTTAGTTAGAAGTGCCAAAATAAAATATAGAAAAACATTCATCTATGGGACACGCTTCATATAAACATTACATGTTTGTACCATACATGAACTGCTTACATCAGTGCCTCTCAAACTCGTTCTGAGTTTTACTTTTTAATATTGTGGACTGAAAAAACAAGCAAAAGCTGGAAAGAAAGCAGAAGCCAGGTTATTGCTCACTTAGTGCATTTTGCTTGGTAGTGTCGTCTCACCTCCCTTAAGATATAAAATAATGTATGAAAAAGATGAAATACAGGACGGCAGAGATGAGCTTTCAAGTAGCTACAAACTACTAAAGCCAAACAGTTCATCTGAGGTATGACGTGATCCACCTTATATGATAAAAACAAAAAAACGTTTACGATCGGACAGTGTTCATGCAGAAAGTCAGTTGTAGAGCCAGCGGCTGCTGCTGCTCTCCCAGCGGTGAAGCTCGCTCTGACGAAACCACAGAGAGATTTCCTTCTGCGCGCTCTCCACAGAGTCGCTGCCATGGATCACGTTTCTGCCAACAAACATTTAAAGAACACTGAGACTCGAAATACCATCTGCCCCAAACACAAACTGAGTCATTCATTAATAATAAGCAGGGGTCTGAGGGACAATTCACCTGTTTGTCCTCATCATTGACTTTATTTTTCCAAATAAAGACTTTTTGAAGTTGATGACATCTCAAAAAGTCTGATTTAAGATGTTTACAGTAATTCAATTCAGCTTTATTTATATAGGACCAATTGACAACAACAGGTCATTTTATTTTGCAAAGGCCCAACAATCACATGTTCCCTTATGAAAACGAGAGAAAGGGGAAACGGAGCGCACAGGGAAACAAGGACAAAACAGGAGCTTTGTGAGAGGGACGACAAAACTATGACATGCAGTAGTGAAAAGAGGTGAGTGGAGAAGAAGTTCTCAGTGCATTATGGGAAGTCCTGCAGAAGTCTGAGCCTATAACAAGGGAGGATTCAGGGTCACCTGATCCAGCGCGAACTATAATTTTATCAAAAAGGAAGGTTTAAAGCCTGATGTTATATCAGCGCTTATGCGTCGGCATTGTCTGAGTGGCGACTATCTTTCTGAGCATGAATAGAAGTGACCGTGTGATGATGTTGTCTCAGCAAGCAAGCCACCAATGAGGAAGGTATACTGGCACCCTTAGGATAATAAGGTCCTTTGACATGTTAGCTGTCGGGGCAGCTGCTGCAGCTGCACAGTCAACAGTAGTACCGGCAACAACTAATAACAAGCTCTCGCAGTCACAGGAGGCTGTTGTTGCTAGCACCAGCAGTGCAGAAGTGCAGGAGGAGGGACAGCAGTCCCAACAACAGAGGGAGAAAGAGACGGAGGAAGGTGTAATTAAGGACTCGTGTAAAATGAAAGGCTATATAGAGGCTTTCTAGTCTCTGCCAGTGCTCTCAGTGCCACGTTCAGGATCAACTGCAGGCTTTTCAGGGAGCTTTTAGGACATCCTGATGGTAAGAAATTACAACAGTCTAGCTGTAACAAGTAGTTTTTGAATATCACTCTGAGACAGCATGTTTAAAATGTGAATGGCAGCACCTATCTTGATCAAAAAAGACTCAAAAGGTTCCTCACAGACTTACTAGAGGCCATGCAGAACATGTTTCTAAGATTGTTAGCTCCAAAAAAAGCATGAACGCTTATAATTACAATAATTACCATGTATATTGATTAACTAATCATTTGAACTCTGCAATTAATATCAGCAAACTCTTCATGCAAGAATTCAGTCAATGACAGTCAGTGACAGTTTTTGCCTCTGTGTACCACCACAATGATACAAATCAATTGAGACATTCAGCTTGAATTGAAATAAATGAAAATGCATGGCATAAAAATCTAATTCTCCTTTAAGTAGAGTGAAATCGCTCACCTGCCCACCTCCACACACAAATCTCCCCGGATGGTTCCAGGCAGCGAGTCTGCAGGGTTGGTCTCTCCCAACATCTTCCGTGCAGTCTTGACCACATCCAAGCCCTGCCACACCTGGAGGAGCACAGAGAGGTACACTACAGCACATCTGTAATCGGAGTGACCCCACAAGCTAGTGCGAAAACCTCAGCGTGGAACAATGTGCGCATCACGTCGAGGAGTCTCACCATCGCAACAACTGGTCCCGAGCTCATGTAGGTTACGAGTCCACCGAAGAAGGGCCTGCTCCTCAGGTCCCAGTAGTGTTCCCTAAGAAGCTCCTCTGAGGCCTGGTATACAAACACACACACGACAGATTAATGGATAATACCGTGGTTCATGGGTCACAGATCAAAATATTTTGGAAACACGCAACTGCTCCAGGCATACCTGCACAAGTTTCAGCCCCACCAGTTTGAAGCCTTTCTTCTCAAAACGACGCACGATTTCGCCCACCAGTCTCCGCTGCACGCCATCTGGTTTTACGGCAACGAAGGTGCGTTCATTCACCCCAGTCCAGCCTAGAGTTGAATAAAACGTGCTTAAACTCAGACAATACAATTAGAATTATTCTGCTTGTAGCCACTGCACTCTGCGCATAGACACATTAAAGGGGGCCTGTTGTGCATTTCCTTATTTTATGTCACATATGTACCGTTACAGTGTTGGCTGCTCACATCAAAGCCGGTCAAAATATCAAAGAATGACATCAGCGTGGGCCACATTTGTCCCAGAGATCTCTCAATATAAGAAAAGGAAGTGTGATGGCAACAGTACAGCCCAGTTTTCTCACTGTTGTAGTTAATGAAAGAAAGCTGTCAGCACAACTCTTTGGGCTTAAACTGGAAGAAGTTAATGTGTAAAATTACGGAAAAGGTTCTCATAGCTTGTTGGCCAAACTGTCCTGTAAATATAAGGAGGAAACTTTTTGTTAATTCACAGTAAATACAGTATTTTGTGCATTTATTTGGTAGCACTATATAATGATGTTACACAGATTGGCATTATTAAGGTATTAGCAAGTGCTGAACTCATCATTTACAAAGCATTACTCCTCCTCAGTATGCAATTTTTAAATACAGACATTTTATTATTATGACCATGATTATGATTATTGTTAGCAGTGATAGTAGTACAAGGTGAAACAGTAACAGCTGAATAAACATCTGTATTTATAAAACACATGCTAAAGAGGAGTAGTGATATAAATGATGAATTAAACTTTACTAATGCTTAATAGTGGGACATTATTATAAAGTGCTACCACTTATTTTACTGTGGAAACAAAAAACCAGAAATATTTCTGGGGGGGGAGGGGGGGGGTTGTGGGGGAGGTCTTAAATACAGTTAAGAGCCTCAAATTTATGTTTATTTATTGCCGGGTGATTCTGGTCCCTGGAGCCTTATGTTTGGCACCCCTGGTTTAAACCTCTTGTTTGCACAGGGATGAACTGAATGGCTACACCCAGATCAGTAAAACGTCTACAATGAATATTTGGAACTGTTAATCGTGCAAAGTAGAGCCCAACAATAGAAATACAGAGTTGAAAATAAGCACAGAAAGCCCCTTTTAAAACTTCGCAAGCAAAAGTGCACACGTCTGAAAGCACTACATGCATTTGCTGTTTTAACCACACTACGTCTTGATGCATGCTCAATCATCCAGATAAGTAAATGCCAAAAGGTTGATTCTGTTCATCTGCGCGTAGCGTTGTCAGTGGGAGAGACGTTTCGTCACTCATCCACACTGCACTTCCCACACCGTGGAGGCCTGTGGAGGATCAAACCTAACGCCCCTAACGCTCAGCTGCTCGTGCCACAAACCTCGCGCTTACAACTTTCTGGGTGTTCCTCACCAAATTCTTCGATTCTCGCGTGTTTAGCCACCAAATCCTCGAGCTCGGACCGGTCTGGCTGCCCCCTCTTTCTCGGCCCCATTGCAAAGCTCTTCCTGCAGCAGCCAATCAGCGCACACACGCGCTATTAATAGGACGATGAATCAACTTTTCTCACGCTGAGGAGGACACATGGACCACGCGGCTCTCAGCATAGATTAGTTAACAAGCTGGCCACACTGCAGTATCACCCACGGTCACAGAAAAACTAACCACTAGTCAGTCCGAGTTTCTTCTGTCAAACTAAAGTTAGTAAAGGCAACGCAACACCACTGCTGTACCGGTTAACTGTGCCGCTGCCAGCAGCTAGCCGAGGCATCTGTCCGGAGGGTTTCCTGGGAGAAAATGATCCTGTGAAAGTCAGACTGGAGGCCCGTGAGTGACAGAGGAGCAGATACAAGCACGTTTATTACCAACCTGACTGAAAGATCTGAGCAAATATGGACAGAAATAAGCAGATCATTGTCGTCAGCGGACGGGGATCAATGTCGGGTACGATAAAGAGGAGGAAAGAAGGATGCGCGTGCACGTAGCTTAAACGCGGGCTCACGAGGAGCGGCTGAAACTGCAAATCATGTGGCGCAAACGACCAATGGTATGCCGCTCCCAAAATTTGCTCCATCTGATACCAAGTGCCGATACTTTCAACCAATGAAGGTAGCTTATGGAGGGGAGAGCAGCATATCATGACTGCAACATCGCTGTGCTTAATCTGAATACTTTTAATGACAACGAAATGATGTGATTTTTGCTTTCCACTGTTAAAAAGTATCCCTTCATAGTATACTGTTAGCTGAATTCTACTGATATACTCTAAATATAAGTTGCAGTAATTCATGCAGTTTGGTAGCAAAAATCTAATAAGGCATTGCAGTGCAAGCTCAATGTAATTAATCAGTTCAAAGTAGTTTAGTGTTGCTGCAGCAGTCCAGGATGACACTGAACAGATGGGCATGCACGGGTCAGACTATGGGAAGTATCCCTCCTGTCTGTTAAAAACGAAATACATCATCAGTTTGTGCAGCTGGTTTGAAAGCATGGCCCTGCTTGAAAAGGGCCACAGCCCTTGCCAAACAAACAGAATGGTAATGTGTTTGAGGGTATTGCGTGCTCACCATGAGCTGTTCTTGTGTGTGACAAGTTCATTGATCGTGCACAGAGAGTCTCTCCTGTTTGGCATTTGCAGTCTAAGACAAATATTTGTGCGCCTTTATAACTGTAGCTACATTCCTTTATAAACTGACAGGCAGTTCACATGTTCTGCTCCCAGCCCTGATGATACCAGTGCCAAAGTTGTTATCCATACTATCAATTTTGCCAGAGTGAGATGTAGAATAAATACAAATAAGTAAGTAAGTAAAATTTTATTTATATAGCACCTTTCTAGACAGAGAATCACAAGTGCTGCACATAGGATAACAAGTCATAAAACAGGCAAAAATTAACCAAAAGCAATTTTAAAAGGTGAGTTTTGAGTTGTTAAATGTTGGTTTTACATCAAATGACTTCTTTATTGTGACTTTGTGAATGCGATAAGAGTTTGAGTGTAAAAAGTGTGGAGGACAAGGATAGTCAGGCACATCAAGAACATCAAAGCATTTAGGGATTTAATCTTTAATTGTGCAATAAAATGCATATTAGTACATTCATTTACATTATTTATATAGAAATTAATATAACAATTCATTATTAGATAATTTAACGGGCAATAAGAAGAAGAATGAATGAATAAAACATTTTCAGATTCAGAAAACCTTTTTTTTACCCTTGTTTAAAAAAGGAAAATAAGTAAATTAATTCAAAAATCAAATCACAAATATAAATTATTTCTGACATTTAAAGTGGTGATTCCACAAATTGATTCTTTCATTCATGTTAATACTGAACCAGCAGCATCATGACTGGTTTAGACTTCTGCTGTGGATCTTTGTAGAGTTTAACCTAAACAAGCAGCTGACATCATTCTTAGCATTTATGCTTGTGCAGGTAAATCATGTGTTCATTACTTTGTGGTTGTGTCCTAGTGTTTTATATGTGGTGCCAAACAAAACAGATACATGCTGACATTAACATAAACATAAAAATGTGTCAAATGGAACTAAATTCAGTATTAGCATATACATTTTGAGCTGACATAATCTATATGAAAAAATCCCTAAGGGGTTCATATATAGCATCCCCAGCTAAAGCTCTACAGCAACATGCAAATAAATGCAGTACAGAGTGAGGTGGAAAATCAAAATATTTGTTTATATCTCATCATCCTGTTTCTTGTCAGGCATGTGGAAAACGTTTCCATCAGGCTGCATCACCCAGCTGATGTCTACAAGCTACAACTACAAGATGTCCTGACAGCACAAAATCTTCTGTCTGTTTATGTCACAGGTGTTGTAAATGGCCAAATAAGATAGTTGTTGAATGATTATGGTGTGGTTAATGTTTTTTACTACACATCACTGCATCTTACATTAATTTCTGAAGAGTGATAGTCCACAGTATTAGCACGAAACAAAAAGACATCAAAGCCATCGCTTTACTACACCATATGTGCAGTAGTCCATGTTAATTTTGTGTTTGCCAGTTTGCGCTTCACACGAAATTCAGTTGTTCTGCATTGAAGTAGAAACAAGCACTTTGTCAGTATCTGTGTATGCAAAGGTTGTGCTTTCCTATAATGTTATTTTCTGTGAACGACGTCTGTTGTTCTTAAACTGGAAATGTTAACTTTGTTTGTACAACACTATTAAAAACACAAAGTTACAGAGTGCTTCACAGTTTTAAAAACCACATGATAAATATACATGTTCAAACAAAGAGACACATAATCGACCACACAGTCAGACCTTCATTCCAACATAAATGCAGACGCACAAACAGTCGCAATCCATGGGCAAAGATAAAGGAAGAAACATTTGGGGAAAGCTGACCTATAATTATTTTTTTTTGCAATATTCTGAAGTGAAAATATGATGATAACAGGGTTATGAATAATATGTTTGAGATATGTAAAATGAATTATGTATGGAGCAGTAATTCATAATGGTGTGTTGTTATCATTTTAATTTAAAAAAATTACTTTTTTTGGCCTTTTTGCAAAATAATTTTGTTTCTGTGTGCAAAATAGAATAATATAAGCATCCAAAATAAGACTGTGATGTTTAGAAAACCTGTGTTAAAAAACTTGTATAGTTTAACATTATTTGGGAGCTACTTTTTTCTTTCTTTTTGTAAATGAAATTTAATAGGGGGACTAATATTTCTGTCCTCATTTGTATATAAAATGTAATTAAACAGAACAGCAACACACATTGATGGAGTTGCCCATGGTGCGGCAGCAGGCCGTAGCTTGCTGCCTGATTGACAGGCTTCACCTATTTACCCAATAACGGGGAGAAACACAGACTGTATATGGAAGATGGACACCACCTTAATATCACCTATTTTTTTAAGCTGTGCATTTTTACGGCTCTTTAAGGTGTTTTGCAAACAGGTGTGATGACAGATGGGTAGCTTATGGAAAAATTGTGTTGCACAATTATGATTCAAATTTTCAGATTATCTTGAAATTTTAAATTAGGTATCTCAGCATCTCAACTTTCTTTGTTGAAATTGTTTTTCTAACTAGAGGAGTGTGCCGCCAGCTGGCCATTATACTCATGTAAGACACTGATGTGACTTTTCACACCCAGGAGCTGTACTGACCCCAATCTCCACATTGTTCTCACTTTGGTCCCCAGCAATAGATATGCACATTTTTAAGCAGATCAGATGAATAGTTGTTGAGATAGTTGATGAACAGATGCCTTCATTTATTATTTATGTCTGAATCTGACCAGTGGTACGACACTCTACACTGGATTAAGATCCTTTTCATTAAAATGTACTTTTAATATCCTGGCAAAGGTTTGCCTTCTTAAAACACAAATCACAGGAAATGCAGTAAACCAGCAGAATGGCAGCAGTGTACTAAAAACTACCAGTGACTCCATGTTTAACATAATTTGCGAAGTGACTATGTAGGTTAGCTTGGTAGCACATGCAGCTTTGGGGTCAAATGTTGAAAAACACTGTATGAACTGCAATATCATGCACATGTCCCCTTCAGTCATTTTAATTGTATTATTATACAAGAAAATGACTAAAGGCTACTGTTTACTTTTATACTCTGATAAAGCTGCTGGGCTTTTTTTTTTTTAAGTTCTCAGATCTTAACCAGAATATATCCAAGTCAAAGTTACAAGTTTGCTGTGGACTGTGATGTGATGCAGCTGTAATTACCTGCACATAGAAACAACAGAAATAACTTAAAAGGGGCTACATTTCATCTCAAATTTAATATTCAGCATACAACAATAACACACATGCACAAGGGCCTGCATCAGACCCACAGAGAAGTATTCTGAGTGGAAGATTCAGCCAGATATTGAGAAGCATTTGTCAACAATGATCTAGTCCAAAAATATCCAGGATCGGTAAACATTCAAGTGAGGCCATTACACCGCAGTCCCCTCTTTCCTCTGTCGCTCTTGTTCCTGCGTGTGGAAATAGTCTTTGTTAAGTAGAACATCCCTCTTTAAAGGCAGGACGGGCTCCTCTGCCGCTCTGCTGCCTCCTCCTTTCTTCTGTTGCGCCAGCAGCATTGCGCGGAGCAGGGGAGGGTAGGCGACGTATCGGACAGGCGGCTCGGGCAGAGGCTCAAAGTCCTTAAACTGCTGCTCCATGTGTTTGGGAATCAGGCGCCAGTCATGGTACATCACCTTGTCCATCTCTTTGACCTCGCTCTCCTTTTTCCCTGCAAACGATAGTTTGTTTGGAGAATATTTACCAAATCACACATTTCAGGCAACACAGGTATTCATAAAATACTGATTAAAAATGGCTGTTACAGTAAAAACAAATAAGACAACACAGGCTACAATGACCATAAACAGTGATATTATTATTATTAATAGATAAAACTAATCTTACCTTTATAAGTGAGGATGCCCCACGCTTTGCCGTGATCCATGTTCTACAAAACACAAGGAATAGTTTCCATTCCTTTAGTAACAGGAATCTCACTTTTATCTAGCATAACAGTGTGCAGGCTCCATGCTCTCACCTCGGATGTGTAGTCCACCTTGACCTTGGTGATCTGCCAGTAGCTGGGCTCGGAGTGGTCCTCCAGCCAGGATTTGCGGGTGAAGAGTCGGCCCACTCCGAACAGCCTCATCCCGGCCAGCAGGGAGAAGAGGCGGCTCTCCCTGCGGACGTCCTGCCATGCTAACACCGGCAGCATCTTCCCCGTGAAGGGCCGTTTCATTGTCTCGTAGTCCAAGGCGTACTTCTGGGACTCCCGGGGCCGGGACTTGAGCTCTCTGTACGCCCGAATCTTCCGAGCCATCTCCGCGATGAGGCGAAGTCTCTTCTTCTTCACCATAACTGAGGTGTCTTCCTCACAGCTACGATAGACACGGGTCAGCGATTATCCTGAAAAATAAAAATAAAAATAAATCATGTCATAGCTGATCTTGAATTATGTCTTTGACCTGTTAGAGAAACTAAATAAAAATGCAATCAAATGGAGAGCATCCTGTTAGCCGGTGTTCCCGGCTCCGTGCTAAATAACACCAGTTATAAGTCGTTCCAAACATTTGTTACCCATAGCAGTGAGCTACTATCGAAAGTGTTTAAAATCATTAAATACCTGAAAACTCCCCAGAAGAGAACTGCCGCTACTTGACCTCCGCAAGAAAGGTGCAGAGCTTCCGACCGCTCTTGGTCCGGGCATAAAATGGTCCGTGGGAACAGCCAGTGTGCTTTTGTTCCGTGTAAGGAGAAGTTCCGTCTTCATAAAAAATAATTTAAAAAAAATTAAGAAATGAAAAATTATCATTTCATAAGAGAGCTTAGATTAGCCAATAAAACGTATGCCAGGCAATCACACACGAACACAGTAAATACAAAGTATTTTAAAAACAAAACCACCAATTAATGTGTTTTTAAGATGCAGTGGGTTAACGGTTCCTCTCGTCGTCTCAGTTTCCATACAAATCCGTTTCATTTAAGTAACTTTATGTATTAATTTATTTGTTATAAATATCGATATTCCTTCCTTCTTATCTCAATAATTCACCGTTTAGTCCCCCTCTATGGAGGACCACAAGAGCCACTAGCCCATCTGTCTTAGTCCAATTTTGCTTGCTGTATGTCCTTTTCCTTAAACCAAACGCAAAGAAAACTTACAGGTAGTTGAAATGAATGACAGGTGAAAACATTTTTTGTGAGTCATTTTCAAAATTAAACCCCCCAAAAGAAAAGAAACTTCTTTTCAACTATATGTAATATTAATTGTTAAGCTTTCTTTAATGTGCATTTATAATAATCAATAATCAATATTCTGAAATGCAAATGCATTTAGGCATGTAGACAGAGACCTGCTCAAGTTTAAAGTGAGCATCAACAAAGGTGATTTAAGTGACTCTGAACTTTGGTTCTTAGTGTCAGAGGGGGGAGCTTTGAACATTTCAGAAAATGCTCGTCTGCTGAGATTTCTCCAGTCACCACAGAGCACCTTTAGGATGTTAAATGTTGAATCTACACGACAATGAACTAAGTAGTTCTGCAGGCAACAGAGGGCCAAACTCGGGACCACTAAGGTGTACCTAACAAAGTGTCCGTGAGTGCAGATTAACACCAGACAGTAAACAAAGGACTTATCGTCATTACTAAAGAACACAGGAGGATGGGGAAGATGAGTATGCTGTGAGAAATGAGACACAAACAACAATGAGTCACTGTCAGCTGCAGAAACATTCACAACAAAAACCCGACCTCTTTAACAAGCGCCCAATTGGCCAGCAAAAAACGAATTTGCTGCTACTAAATGAATGAATGGAGCCCATGCTGCATATTTAGCATTCATTTTATTTTCAGCTGAAAATCATGCTGATACAGAGAAAGGCAAGTGAAGGCCCTCACATACAGTATTAATAATATGACACAGTATAGAAGAAACACTTAGAATTTACAGTAAAACAGTAAGAAAAAAGTGCTTTGATGCATCAATGTGAAGACAAATTTATCTGCTGGACCACAATTAACTTCCTGGTGGTTACATTACTCTATATGGAGGACGAGGCGGCTGAAAGACTCAACTAGATGATCTGTGGCTCGTGAGTGATGAGCATGGTCCTCTGGTACTATCCCTGCTGCTCCATAATGACTCCCTAACCTCACCCACTGCCTCAGAGAATGCTTGTGTTGCATAGTACCTTAGGTATTTGTATCACTGTACTGAAACCAAGAACTTTGAGGACATCAGAAACGGGTGTCTGACCTCTGGGCAAAACACTAATGTTTCATTATTATGGTTTGCGACTACAGAGAATCTATTTACATATCTGACCCACATGTCTCACCGTACCCCAGGCTGTCATTCATGAACACTCAAATACTCATCAAGTACTCTCAGCTTCTCTATACTGAAAAACATTTATATACAAAAGTGTTTGTATATATTAGGGCAAGCTGCAAAACACAGCTGCAGCATGCATGTTTACACTTTTATGGTACGTCCCAGCCATCAACAGTATAAAAGATGGACTAAGTGTCTCAGGTCTGAACAGAAGCCACCAGGGGGCGATACCTGTGGTTCCTAAAAGACTTCTGGTCCCATAGTAATCTCTGGGGAAATGCGCCCCCTGCTGGGAGATCTGTAAACACTTTGCTGCAATAGATTTAATGTTCTAAAGAGCATTAAATCTATTTTGTAAATTTGACTCCTTCCACAGTGCTTAGCAAATTTCTCAGATCACCTCCCAGTGAAAGGTTTACGCCACAGCTGCCCTAAATTATCAGTACTCAGGATTACCAAAATCCTAATGATTGGATTTTTTTTAGAATATTTACTGTTTTATTTTTTAAAAATCAGAAAAAAATAGCAAAGCACATAATTAATTTTTAACAATATGCCAAATTACAGTTATTTAAGCTTTAGTGGTTGAATATTATGGTTGACTTTTTTATGACTGGTGGTCTGGTAAATTTGTTAAGCACTGCATGTGTAAGAAAGGTGGACATGCTCACATGCGCTTTTATAGTCAACTCCACCTCCTTCTCATTGCACTGGGTACCAAAATGCCAAGACGGCAACAGCAGAAATTCTTGGTGACGCTATGTCCATCTTTTTTTTTTACCATTTATGGTCCCAGGAGATTATTGAAACATAACCTTTTCTAAAAGGTATAATGTCCCAATAATCGATGAATCAATCAAAACATGGCTACAGTCAGGTTTTTGGGCAGTGATGCAGTTCAGGTGATGTTGCCTCCGTCCACTGCCTGAGTGGAAAATAAGATGTAGGCGAGGACATCTCAGGCCCATCCGTGTTACTTTTAAATGGTAAATGGCCTGTATTTGTATAGCGCTTTACTAGTCCCTAAGGACCCCAAAGCACTTTACATATCCAGTCATCCACCCATTCACACACTGGTGATGACAAGCTACATTGTAGCCACAGCCACCCTGGGGCGCACTGACAGAGGCGAGGCTGCCGGACACTGGCGCCACCGGGCCCTCTGACCACCACCAGTAGGCAACGGGTGAAGTGTCTCGCCCAAGGACACAACGACCGAGACTGTCGGAGCTCGAACCGGCAACCTTCCGATTACAAGACGAACTGCCAACTCTTGAGCCACGATCGCCATTGAAAATGAGAGAAAAAAAGGATATTAAGTCTCTTGATACGTCTACATTTCAGTCACAGCTTGACTGCTTCACTTCAGATCGACTGTGGTGGTGAACAGAGCCAAAACAATCCTTTTCACAGACTCCTCGACCTGACTGTGCATGGTCTCAGTCTCAATGGTCATTGTAGCAGTAGTAGCACTGAGTCTGTCACAATGATGACACCTTTAGCCATATAAACCCATATTTGGACAAAGTGAACCGTATTCATATTAAACACATAGTGTGGGAGCCGATTACACAGCAGGAGGATGGATATCTTTCTGTACACAATTTCATATGTCCTATTTTCTGCTCATCCACTGCACTGAGTGGATTTACAACACAGAGCTTGAACTTAATTCGGGGCCAGAAAAGCTGCTTTGACAAAGACCTTTTTAAAAAAAGAGCTGAATAAACAGACATACCAAAATAATAGCTTGATGATGGATCTAGAAAGAAAGAAACTTTGACTTTTAAAACATAAAAAGTAACAGCAATGAAAAAGTTAAAATATCAGCATTAAAAGGCTACACTAAATAATGCACACAGCTTTTTAGAAGGAAAAAAAGCTGGAAGCTAGATGGATGATGTCTCCGTGAATGTAGCATATAACAGATATTTTTCAAGAAATGACGATTATCTGATGTGTCGTGAGAGGTGCATGCTTTGCTCAAACGTTATCGCTTTTTTTTAAGGCTAAAAGCTGCAAAGTGCACTCAGGTTCATTTACTGTTAACTTTTAGCATTTAAGGAGCGAACAGTAGTTACAAAATATAGAATATCAGCTGATTCTGAGCAACATAGGAGAAACTTGCAGATGCCATTGAAACAAGTAACAAAGTCCTCTGATAACTCACTGACAACATTTAAAGTGAGAAAAACAGACATTAAATGCAGGATACGGGATGAAAATACAGAAAATTTCTATACAGTATCTGTTTTTTTTAACCCTCCCCATTTTGATGACCACCACATCCACCCATAACAAAATAACATGGTATATTTTCACCTTTTACTGAAGCTGGCTTTAATACTCGACATGTGATGAGCATGAAGAATGGCATGAGAGAAGATCACAGTTTTCCACCGACGTTTAGTTCCCTCCGCTCAACCGCCCTCGTTACTTTCTCCAGACGACACTAATAAAGAAAGCTTGAGGCAGTTCAGTAACACTACATCAGATGCCAAAGGACACTAATGTCTGCCAGGGAGGTAGGATGCGAGTCGCCCAGTCATGTCCAGCGGCATCTCTTCCTCTGACAGGCCTCCGGATCGGACGAACAACCCTCTGAGTCGCTCTCAGAGGAGGACGGTCCTGCCAAGGCGGGGACAGGCAAACGTGAGGACTGCTCAGCCCCATCTGGGGTTTCTTCCATTGTGCCGCAGTTAAGACTGAGCACCCAACCCAGTTTGTTGTGGAGCAAATGACGCAGGCCAGGTGGTAGGGGCAACACATCTAGGATGTCTATACAGTCTGGCACCAGCTGGCGAAGACGAGCACAGCACAGGTACAGCAGGGAGGTGGGTGCAGAGCAGGATCTGATGACCTTCATGCTGCTCTTCGCCGCTGTGGAGCACGCCATTGGATAAAACCTCTTATTCTGCAGCTCTGTAGCAGCAACTCCTGGATCAAGACAGGCGAGAAACCTGTATTATTGAGTTTCAGGAGCACACTGCAGTTCACATTCTTGTAAGATATTACAAGGTCTCCACTAAACAGCATCTGTTTCTTATGATTATAAAAACTCTTTCGCCTTTGCATACAGTTGACCTATTAGGGCTGAGTCACACAGGCTTACAAGCTGGTCCACAACACACTGGGAACCTGCAGTTAAAATGGAAAAAGGCTTATGAACTTATAGTGGTTGCTGGAGGTTGCCACCAGTTGCTAGGTGAAACTGGCTGCAAAGATTGGTCACCAAAAACCTCCTTATAATTGCTTTGGTTTCTAGCATTTTCAACTTTTCACACTTTCACTACTTCTTGGAAAGTAGTTGGTGAGTTTTTGCAGATAAATCTGCACCGTCTGTGCAAACTACAGGCAAAGGAAGCAATCTGCTATCAAATAACGCAATTGCAAGGATGTTTGTGGTTCCAAGCTGTTTGCTGCTCATTTTGTAGACCTGTGTGACCAGGGACAAAACAGAAATAAATTAGTATTTATGTAATCTAATCAGTAGAAAATTTTCCACAAACCTATGCACTTTCGATTTTTAAAGAATGTAAGTGTGCCGTGCCACGTGTCCAGATGAACTCCAATGATGGAACCTTGACCAAAACGTGAGGAGAAGTTCATTTTGTCTCCTTTATGATGCAACAAGCCTGGAAAATGAACAAAACCAATGATGTCTAAAATATAAAAACCCTTTTGAGCAACTACCGTTACATCAGGGGCACTTGTGTTTAAGTTACCAGTGTAAGAAAGCCCCCAGCTGTCTGCATCTTTTCCCAGCAGGCTGCAGAAGGTATGTCTGTATTTGTCCAGATTAACATCAGATGTACCGATACCAACCATCTGCGCAGAAATAAATAAACATTTAGGCACAAATAAACATTTCTTCTGCTTCTAGGACAATTTTTGGTGACTGTAAGGAAAATAAGAAGTCGAGCTTTACCATGTCTGTTCCATACACTGGGGACGTCATCTTAATTTCCCAGAAGTGCTGCCCGTCTGCAAGCTCCTTGGAGCCGCGGATTGCAGCTGTACCACAGCTGTATTCAGAGTGGAAGTTCACTTTGCGATTTTCGCAGCTCAGTAATGTTGCCGTTGATCGGCTGTTGGCATCCCAAACCCAATCAAAATCTGAAACATAACGAGTCATTTATTAAATAATAATCAGCATAACAAAAGATGATGTACGGTGTCCTGCCCCAGCTGTCATGTACCTTGGTCATCCTCTCCACAGTGGCAGTCTTTAACCTGGAGAAAGCCTCGCAGACGAGGGTTGTAGCTGGTCTCTGCCTGGGAATCACAACCACAGTAGGACTCTCCGGTGACGGGTACTGCGCTGGGGACCGGTGGGACCATCACTGCTGAAAAGTCTCCCTCAGAGTCTGAATCACTTGCGTACTTTGGAGCAACAATGAAGAAATAAAAAGAGCAAAATGAACTGTCTGCAGTGTTATTTATGCACAGACTTCACTGTCAGCCTACGAAAAAATGCTAAATGGGGATGCTGCATTGGAGGAGGCAAACAATGCTTTCCATCAATATCCTTTCAGCATAGAAACATCTAGAGTAGGGGTGGGCGGTATGAACGGTATACGGTAGAAACGATATAAATTTGGCCAACGGTAGAGATTTTGACTATACCGCTCTACCGTGATAGCGCATGTTGATGGTGTCATCAAGCTGCACCTGTTTTGGTCGAAAGCATTGCAGCGGCTGCAAACAACATCATTTGCAAATTATGCTGGGTGATAGTAATAGCAAAGAGATGAAGCACTTTCCGTACCATTGATTCATTAATGCTGAATTCTCTCGCAGCTGCTCTATTCCCATATTGTTGCAGTATATTAATGACTAACCTTGTGGATGGATTATCTCAGTTGTTCTCCTGACTGAAGTTTGGTCCGTTTATAGCATCCTGCCATGCAATTGCATTTGTCCCTAACCAGCAGAAACCCTCATGTTAACTTTTATCGAGCGGAAAAAAGTTCGTCCTTCAGCTTCACTGTGCTAATGTTATGCTAACATAGCTGTTTTGCTAGCAATCACGTAGCATATCATTATATACCAGCTAGCTCAACTTCAGTAACCCTACAAACATCACTGCTGTTTAGTTTTCGGTCTTCATTTATGTTGGAAGTGATAGCAGAGCTGTACATCTTAATTTTTTCAGAAATCTCTCAGTCAGAACATGGCATATCATGTTTAGGTGGAAACTAGCGAGCTAACTTCCTGCTAACTTCTAACTCAGTTGAATTTAATAAATTTTAAGTTTTCATGGATGCCTGGATGTTAAACTTAATTGTTACACCTGGTAAAGCAGCAACACTGATCATTTTATTAAAGATTTATTAAAGATTATTAAAGAATTTAGACAGTTTTTAACTTTCAGTGATGTTGCAGTGTTCGTTTGACTTTGGGACCTGAAGAAGATGGAGTTTTGGAGCCAGATTACTCCGCAAGGTAGCCGTAATGCTCCAGCAATCCAGCAATCCATCAAGCTTACCAAAGTCGTACTAAAACATTTTTGACAGATTTCTGCGCCATGTACCACATAAAATCATTTCGAGGTCAGTAAGCGCAACCAAAATTCATACAAAAGGTGCACTGTCGACTTTTGAGAAAATTAAAGGATTTTAAGTGTGCCTCATAGTGTATAAAATACGTTATACAGAAGAAAAGAATATATATATATATATATCGTTACCACACATGCTTCAAATTATACTGTAATATGGATTTTAGGCCATATCGCCCAGCCCTAACCTCAAGGCGATCATAGTTCCATTCTTCACTCTCAGAAGCCAACACAAGGGCCCGGGCATCAGCATCCCTCCGTATGCCTCCCCACACATATCTCCATGCACGACTGTTCCTGCTTCTCCTGGACATGGCAGCAGAGTCTCACTGTAGGAAGAACCTGCCAGTCTGCTGAGGTTTAGTCCAGATGTTGGAAGAACAGCATCAGTCCAGCTGCTGAAAGACAACAATGCAATATGATTATCTTGGAAAAAACAAAAAACAAGAACTCACATTAACTGAGCTGCTTTTAGTACTGAACGACAGAGGCATGCATCTGTCTGCAGACCCCGTGTGACGTATAATGTGTATTATTCATATATCCTGGCTTGTCTGTATGGCAACATTTCCTACACCACGCATTTGTAGTACTATATTTTAAATTAATCCTGCAACCCGACCTCGAATCTCATGTTTAATATATGTTATTTAAGACATTTTCAGAGCAGCATTAGCCGTATCCCACTGAAACATCCCCTCTGTATCGGCTAACGCTTACACACATCACCATATTAGCATAGCATAGGCTAACTTTGTCCACAAATAAATTATATCACAAGTAAAAATTATTACCCCCTTGTTTATGTAGGAGACTATTTTTCACAAATAGCAATTTTTTTTAACTAACTAACACAAACAGCTAAAGCTAGCTACCTGGCTAGCCAGCAGAGCCGCGCATGTATGAACATGTTAGCTGGTAATAACAAGGTCAGAAGCACTTTACTGGTTATTATTGATACGTATTTACATTGCAACACGGGAAATACATCTAAGGCACATAAGGTCGCAATTTATCTGATGACATGCATCAAGAAATCGGTCAAACCTGTTTAGGCTAGCTAGTTAGCTTTCGTTAGCTAACCGCTGCTACCATTGCTGAAAAATAAAAGCGAGACGTTCTTATTACCTGACTGTTGGTCACATTCAGTTTCTACATAAAAACCGCTAAACCCGCAAAGACGTCGTCCCTTGAGTGTCTCGTATTACAAGCTAGTTCAGACAAGACAGCGCGCCGGGCTTCTGTTTTCCATGACCTACTTTTCATGAGTGCGACCGTAAACAATAACAGGCAGGCTGAGGAGGAGCTGCGGCGCAGGAAGTTTTCTGCACACATGACAGACTCCTGTCATCATCTCAGCAGCCAGGAGTGACTGGAGTCATTATACTCAGCCGTAAAAACAGCTATCCACCGCAGTGGAGAACATTTAGGGCATTAACATGGTAAAATACTGCAAATTTTGGTATCGATCCGATACCAAGTAAATAGAAGGCCCTTATTGCCGATACCAATAACGCCCATAAAACCAGCTGAAGGCGAATGCATTGTGTCATGATTTATTGGATGAATTATCACTGATTTGCACATTTTGAACAATAAATCACAAGTTTTTAACTTTCTACAACTTATTTACTTATTTGACACAACAAAACACACATTTTAGGTTTTCACATATTTTGAAACTGGGTTTTTTGGAGACTCTGAGTGTAAATGTGCCCGCTTAAAGGACTCTGGGTCAGCCTCTGTTAATGGACTTTATAGGTTATAAATTAAATTGATGTGACAGTCAATACAAAAAGGTTCTGACATTTTTCATGGTGCATGTTTGAGGCATGTGCTACATACTGAACTTAGAGGATAGAAACAAACTATTGATCTAATCCGCTAGTATTGATCAATACCAATATCAGTGCTGGTATTGATACAGTCAATAGGATCACTATTTATTCTCGGACTTCATTAAATTTGCTTTGCGTGATAGAAGTTGAACATAATCCTTATTTATTTAATGTTGGGCCTCATCTCAGCTGCTTAGCAAATCCACTGGACTAATAAAGTGTCCGGCTGACTCACTGGACACTTTATTAGAAACCCCCTGTCACCTGCAGAACAGACTTAATTCTTCATGGCATAGATTTTGTCAACAGTCCTCCATATATCCCATATTGACTTGGCAATACCACAGAGTTGTTTGCAGATTTGTTGTGAATCTTCTATTCCACCACCTCCCAAAAGTGCTCTATATGATTGAGGTGACTGTGGAGTTCATTTGAATATAATTATTTCAGTATCATGTAAAAAAAAACAAAACCCAAAAAAACCCACACACAAAAAAAAAAAAAAAAACCCCCAAAAAAAACAGTTTGAGATGATTTGAGCTTAGTGACATAACATCCTGCTGGAGTCAGAAGATGGGCACACTGTGGTCATGCAGGGATGAACATGGCCAGCAACAGCGCTCAGGTAGGTGTTTTACATGATGCTCAGTTATTACCAAAGGCCTGAAGTAGTGTGCCAATAAAATATCGCCAACATCATTACACCATTAGCAGCAGCCTGAATTGTTGATACAATGCAGGATGGATCCATGCATTCATGTTATTTATGCCAAATTCTGATATTACCATCTGAATCTCAAGACTCATGAGACCAGGTAATGTTACGGACCAGACAGACATTCTTTCTAAAGACCAAAAGTAAATAACTACTTTTATCAATATAAGAACGTGTAGCTGAAACGGTTTGGGGTAAAAATACCCAACATATTGGCCAGTTTTAGATTGCATTTAAATGTTTAGGTATCCGCTGTCTGCTTTCCTTTTGTAGTGTTTGGACATTTCATTAACAGATACACTTCAAAAATAAATACCGGACAGTGAGATTCTGGAGGAGGTTGAGTTTTATTTGGAAATCTGACAGGCATGGCTGAACAGTGAGCGCTCACCTTCAACAAAATAAAACAAACAAATCAAGACAGCAGCACTACAGGTAAACGATACAAGTGTCTGAGGACGTCATATTAAACATAAATCCACTTGCATACATTATGTACTCAGATCATTCACGCACACGCACACACACTGTCAACTCCATATGAACATGTGGACATCCTCCATTAATATTCACACTACATCCAGAGGAATTCCAAGCACTTATAACAATTACCCACAGTGCAATTAATCTAACTATACACAGATAATTTATATATTTTTTATGTATATAGGGTATTCAATAAACAGTACTCCATTTAGATAGCTTCAAAATCTTCATAGCTGTCCATAAATAGTGAAAAAAAAAAGTTTCAAAAATGGTCCCAGAAAAGAACATGAAAAAATAAAATACTGGTGTTCACGATATCTTCAGCAGTCTTAAACAGAGGTTGACAATATAAACCACCAACAAAAAAACCCAAAGAAACAAATAAATAAATAAATACATAAATAAACCAAAGGAGGGGAATGGGCAGAGGGGGGTAAATGTTGATACTCACACTCACAGCACGGACTGGTTACTACATTTACTGGGGGGCAGGGGGGCTCTGGATCACTGTACAGTTTAAGATCAGACAATAAATCAGGCAGACTGTCCACACATCATCCCACAACACACAGTACATGTTCATGCCCGTTCTGTACGCACAAGACCTGACACAACTGGATGGCTTTAAACAATATGGATAGAAACCTATCTGAGGACAGAGCTATCAAAGTCGAACGCCAATGTGTTTCTGTCGCCATCCCGTCCTGTCAGACCCACCGGCTGTAATGGAAGTAGGTGAAAATCTCCTATTTGTTCTTGCTGCTCTGATGTGGAATGAATGAGATGGTGGCATGATGGAGACACTTATTTTGTAGATAGGATGAGGGCCACAATGAGCCCGTAAAGACCCAGCACCTCGGCGAAGATCAGGATCAGGATCATGCCCACGAACAGCCGAGGCTGCTGAGCGGTCCCTCTCACGCCGGCGTCACCCACAATGCCGATGGCGAACCCGGCCGCCAGGCCGCTCAGGCCAACGCTCAGACCGGCACCGAGATGCAGGAAACTCCTGTTGAAGAGAAGCAGTAGAAAATACTTGTTTTGTGAAGTTAGGAGCATTCACAGCCTGGTTCTGTCACAGGTTTCTTCTGTTAAAAGGGAGTTTTTCCCCTTCCCTCTGTTGCCAAGTGCTTGCTCATGGCAGTTGTTTGATTGTTGGGGTTTTCTCTGTATTATTGTAGGGTCTTCACCTTAGAATATAAAGGGCCTTGAGGCGACTGTTTTGTGATTTGGTGCTATAGAATTGAACTGAAACATCTTTTTTGTCCATAGGTTAGAAATACTCAGTGAGTTTTATATGTAGCATCAAGTTGTGCACTGAAACTATGTTCACTCCTCTCTCTTGTTCCTCCTTTTAAACTTGCATGAAAAAATATGAAAGAGGGTGCAGAGATGAGCAGTTTCACTCTACATGTTTTTGTTGTTGTATTTGCTGCTTTTTAGCAATTCTAACCAAAGGTCTGAATAAAAGCGCTGAATTCTGAAAAGAACAAGCCCAGTTTCAAATCTGCAATCTTTCTATGCATTATTAATAACTGGACTACATCAAATTGCTCAACAAGTCTTCACAGAAAGTGGCATGTTAAGGACTTGAATGACACGTTAGACACAGACAATGAAATTCAGATTGTTATTTTACTGTAGCATCACTATATGACAAACAAACAAAGATCCTTATGTATGAGAAGTTTAGCTTACTTGTAAAGAGAGACTCTCTCAGATATGTTGTTCGCTATCAGCACAGCCACCACCAGCCCGTAGATGGCAATGATACCTGCCATGACCACAGGAATGATAGACTTCATGATGAGCTCTGGCCGCATCACAGACATGGCAGCGATGCCTGTGCCGCTCTTTGCCGTCCCATACGCTGCTCCTAACGCTGAGAAAGAGAGACGATAAATCTGCGTTAATGAAGCAAAGCTCTGAGTTTTATCTTCTGAGGCACGTTGCAGAAAGGATGAGAAATTCAACTGACAGTTCTTTCTTGCATTTCACCTACTTTTTAGCTTTCCTCACAAAACATCTCAGAAAAACTGCATGAAAAATGTTATAAGTTGTTAGACTGTGAAGTCTCGCTACGCAACACAACACCGCCCACTTCACTACTTTATGACTCTTTTCATGACTAATAATGCCACCAATGGGCGCTCGTCCAGCAATTTTGCCCTCCGCTCTGCTGTCACCTCGCATTTCACTGATGCCCGCTCGGCTCGTCACACTGCCATGAATGCTGCACACCCCAAAATATTACAGTTTATACGTCCACAACAACTCTGCAATACACCCAGGCATTTGCAGGAATCTCAACCTGTTATTTTATCTGCATTTCCTGCTGCTGTTGATCACAAACTGCTTCTTTATCACCGTCTCCTATTTGCATGCAATTTAATTTGTTTTGCATTAGAAACCCCTCTGTGTTCACAGTAAACGTGTACTGTGCAAATGAAGACCAGAAAAGTGAGCAGCATCATCTAAAAATTATGCTTACTTGTGATGATTGAGAGGTGATGAATGGGCTGTAACTATTGACAGAGCTGTTCTGTATTTTAATAGGTTGTATCTTTAAACTAAAGGGGATTTATGCGTATATTTATTCTGTGCTCAGTATGATTTTTACAATCCCATCACATGCACTTAAACAGCTGCATGAACATTATTATTAAATACAGAGTGGGTGACTTGCAGGTCAGCCCCTCTGATCAGAAGGCGGCAGAGGTTCTGCCACAGAGCGGTGGTGTTCACATTTCAAATGTCTTTAATCCAGTGCATTCAGGCGCTGTTCTTCAACACCTGGAGTGCGCAGATCGGTGCCAGGCAATTCCTCATCATTACATGTGACTTTGCTGGCTGCGAGCAGTGAGCAGCTGTGAACACGGCATGTCTGCAAAGAAGACTCGCTCAGTGGGGTGGATGAATAAATAATAATGGTACAATAACACACAGCTTTCCTCACTTCCCACTTGCTTGGCTGTGCAGTCACATTTACAGGACCTCTCTGTAAGATCCACACGCCTTTTGCAGTGAGATGTGTTGGATATGACGAGGGTGTTCAGCTACACAGGTGAACCATTTTCTTAAAAGTAACATCGGGGCTTCGTGTCTATAAATCGTGGACTGGATAAACAAAGAACAATCATACATCTCAAGTTGGCATTTTACTGAGTGTGACAGTAATCAAACTCAAATAATGAAGCTGTATGAAGGGGCTCCTAAATGCCTGTGGTGTGTAAAATGATGGGTTACTGAAGTGCAACCAATGCACAGTTTGTGCTGAAGTTAGAGGACACCCAAGGTTATTTTTTCCTCCCAAAATGCTTTTAAATACTTTAAGGGTCACTGAGAAAGAGCTAATATTAAACTTGATGTCAGGCTCATTAAACCAAGTT